GCCTTTGGAAATTCAGTCAGAGGTCTCTCTGCTTCTAATGTGGCCTGTAATTATGGCTAAATATGTTCAAAGAATAGCAAATTTTTTTATAAAGACATGGATGTATATATGTCCAAAGTTTTTTGGAGAAGACAAAACTATTTTTTGGTTACACACTCAACTGGCATACTAACTTTTGTCTTGAAAGAGTTCTGAAAAATAAGATAAAACAGTTATGCTCCTTATAAATGAAAAGATTAATTTCAAAGATGTATGTATGTAAATAGGCCTTGCAAGAGGCTGGGGCTCTTGAGACCAAGGAGCAGCACGGGGACATGGCCATGGCAGGGAATAAAAGGGACAGGGGCACCTGGGTAGTGTGAGTAGGATATGGGCTGAGAGCCAGGGGAAGGCAGGGGCTGACCTCTCTGCTTAGTGCCTGTCAGACCCCACAGGGGTACTGCCTTCCCTTTGGGTCCCAGATACAGGAATGACACTGAAAAACTGGTTGGAGAGGAATAAGGGCCACCAAGATGGTGGGACTGGAGCCCTTGTGTTAAAGACAGAGTTGTTTGTGCTTTGGGCAGGGCTTGGACTGGAGACCTCCTTTGGTCCCTTCCTTAGCTGAGTTACCTTGTTATCCCATATGTGACAAAAAAAAGTGTGTGTAATCTTGGTTCCACATGGTATACATGGCTTTTGTTTTGAGACTCTAACAATAGTACACATAGCTCTCAATAGTGTGATCTTTCATTTCAAAAAGACAGTATTAGACTGTGAAAATACAATGCATAATGCTTTTATGTAGTAAACTCTAAAAAGTATATTGGAAATAATAATTTTTTAAAAGCTTCATTTCTGATTGCATGCCCAAGAAAGCAAACAGTTATACATGTTATACATATTTAGGAAACAAATAACAAACAAATTGGAAGCTGAATAGTCACATATTCATCTTTTCTTATTACATGTATTTTCCTGAGTAGCAACAGGCTACTGTTGTGGTCTTGCTCTGAGGTAATAGTGTGCCTCTTGGTGGTGTTTTAAATCCTTTTTTTTTTTTTTTTTAATTTTATTTATTTAAAGCAGCAGAGAAAAATCCTTAAACTTCCAGCTTTGTATTCATGTTGCTTCAGAAATATGTGGAGATGTTTAATTTTTCTTCTTTACAGGCAGGAAGGTAGTTTAACCTTCAGCAAAGAGCTGGTTGCAGTAGTAATCAACCTCTGATTTGTCTGTTTTGAAGACAGATTCATCCATCAAGCCCTGAGTGCAAAGCTAAGAGTGCTTACAGAGCACTTTCCTGTGTATATTTGATTACTGGAGCACAGCTGCTGTTCAGAGTAATTAATATGAGAGTATAATATCTTTCAGATGGGTGCTGTGTCTTTATTTCCAAGGTCAGTTGACCTCTCCTGCTTAAGTTCTCTTCTGTCTGTGGCATTTTATGTAGGTTATTGATTTTTGATTGCTTGCTGGAAATAAAGCACTTATGGAAGGCCTGGTGAGAAAAATCAGGCAGACCTTGTATTTGCTTGAGGGAAGTGCTACTAAGAATTAAAAAAATGTGAAGTTTAGTAGTCTTAGAGCTACCATATATGTAAAGGGACTTAGTGCTTCTAACACCCAACTTTAATAGGTGATTCTATAAATTACTGTCCTAAAGACTGATTGCTAAACAGTCAAGTTAGTGTACTTGGCTTAGAAGCTTACTTTTCATTGATGCATATTGGGCTTAGGTGACATAGGGATGTTTATTCAAATCTATACTTCTATAAGTATTTTTTTTCATAGCAAGTAAAATTCCTGCTTTTTTTTTTCCAAAATATATTTGATAATAATATTTTTTACTTAAAAAATTAAAAAGTTAAATTAAATTGAAATTATTGGAGGAAGGGAAAGAGAATTTTTTCAGTGTAAAGCTTAAAGTTTCCTCTTCATCCCCTCAAAAGGCACACCTTTGAAATTTTCAATATCTGAAATTGACCTGAGGTCATTCTTCAAAATGAACAATTTCACACCTGGAACTTTGGAAACCTTCAGTTTGAAAAAGGAAAATGTTGGGGCTCTCAGGTGTTTTTAGCAATGCTTTGTATGGTTTATAATCGCTACAATTTGTTTCTCACAGCTAGACACACCACTAATGCTATCTGTCCAAAATATGCATTATGTTATGAGCATGTATTAAAACTTCTAAAATAGGTTCACAAAATTTCAGAAACTGTCAGAACTTCTGTTGTTGTAAATATTGCGGCATTTGATAACTTATTTAACTTGAGGTATAGGTAGTCTTCATACAGTTGAATTTTACCTTCTTTTCTAACTTTAGATAATTAACTCCCAGTAGCATTCATTTTTTCTCTGCCCCCCCCCAACATAGGAAAGTTATGGACCTGTTAGGCTCTAGGGAAACCTTAGAGCAGCCTTCCAGTACTTCAAGGGGGCCTACAGGAAATCTGGAGAGGGACTTCTTACAAGGGCATGTCGTGACAGGGCAAGGGGGAATGGCTTTAAACTGACAGAGGGGAGATTTAGATTAGGTGTTAGGAAGAAGTTCTTTACTGTCAAGGTGGTGAGGCACTGGCACAGCTTGCCCAGAGAAGCTGTGGCTGCCCCATCCCTGGCACAGTGTTCAAGACCAGGTTGGATGGGGCTTTGAGCAACCTGGTCTAGTGGAAGATGTCCTTGCCCCTGGCAGGGCGGTTGGAACTAGATGAGCTTTAAGGTCCCTTCCAGCCCTAACCATTCACTGATTCTAAGTTAAAGATGTGGCAGGATACATAAAAGATTTCAGAAAATTGGTCATCATCCTGGGTTTATGTACAACTTCATTTCTCTCAAGTAGTACTGCCCTTTTTCGATGGGTAACTAATGACACTTAGGTGTGAGTTAGGGGCTACTTTGAATGCAACACATTTAAGCTACTATGTTTAAACAGACCTCTATTTTAGCCTAACTCTTGTCTATTTGCAAAGCAAGGGAAATTCTATAACTTACTTTTAAGGAGCAGGTAATCCTGCTTGGAATGGACTTTTCAAAGAGCTGTTATGCCTTGGCATCTTCACCCTTCCTTTTGGGGGCTTAAAAAGGAAAGCTCTTAAATACTGTTGTTCCTGTTTACTTAAATATATCATATGCTGCAGTGGGGAGTGTTTGGTTGGTTAGTCCTGGCATAGCATTGCATATAGACCTGGAAGTCTTAGCTGGAAAAAAACTTTACCTTATCAGTGAAGGCTTCTTACTAACATACATTCTTTAGCTAGAAGAAACAACCTGAGTTTTTTCATAGAAAAAGGATCAGTTTGTATACAACATCTTTATCTGTTCAGTTATTTGTTATTAGGTATAATTTTATAACTGCATTTTTATATATACTGTATCCCATACTGTACGTTTTTCTCCCCTGTGATGAGAGTGGGAGAGGCAAGTCTTAAGAGGTCAAACACAGCAGGCTAGATTTGCAAAACTATGTATGAGCTGCTTCTGAAAATTGAAGGATCTGTCTGCAGCAAGGACCAGGATATTTCTTTTTCCATTTTTTTTTTTTTTTTTTTCAGGACCCCAAAGCTTTAAAGTCTAAAATATGAGGTGTGTCAAAGACAAGGAGAGTTAGCTGAGCTGGAAGCTGAAACCACTGAATTTCCCATGGAAGCCTAGTGTAAGTAATTCCCATCTAGTCTTGCCTTCAAGTTGACTTTCCTAATAGAGAGCAACTAAAATTACTGTTGCTTTCTCGCCACTGGAAGTTATTCCCACAGCCCTTTTGCACAGCACTCGTCTAGTTGGCAAAGTGCCACCTGAGCTTCCTTGCCTCAGTTCAGTAGATTCAGTTCATGTTCTATTTTGCATCACATTATTTTTGTAATTGGTAACTGACCAATTGATCTTTTATAGGTCCTTCAAGTTGTAGCTCTTCCATAAAGTATCTTTTCTTTTAGTACTTACCACTAAGTCACATGCCAGACCTGTATTTTACTTACAGACATGTGGTTTAACTCAGGGCCTTAAAAGGACATAAAATGTCCTTTTTATGACACTGCATTTTAAAAAACAGAGCAAGCTTCAAAATTGCTGAAGCTTTTACATAAAAATTAAGCATTCTGAGCTAGGTAGGCCTGTTTGCTCCAGGAAACTTCTAGAAGCTAATCTGTGTTCTTATGGAGTTCTGCTGTTTCTGTGGTCTTTTTTTATAGCCTATTATTACTGGCAGACAGCCCCTTTGTCTCACCAGTTATTGTGCAATCTTCTACTCAAAGTCAGCAAGGTTAAGATGCCTCACTACTCTCAATGTGGTCATGGTTAAGAATACTAGTAATGTCTTCTTCATTTTTTAGGAAAGAGATTTGGTGTAGAAGTCATCTAAAGTGATTATAGATACATTTCATGATGGTAAGTAACTAGTTGTCTTGTGCTTCCCTAGGGAGAGGGAACGTGTGCTTCATACCTTGAGAGTACATTTTTATTTCTGATGATGAGTACATAGGGTGACTATCTCAGTCAAAGATACCATACTGAAGAAGGGTAGTATGCATAGCTGTCATGTATCTGGGCAATTGCAGACTCCTGTGATGGGACTAAATCTGTCATTTTACATTACAGCATCCTTCCCTTGCACCGAATTAGTGAGCTGTAGGCAGAGGTGGAGCAAGGGTGGAATATTTCTGTCATAACTCTACCATGATTGAGCTGCTGGCCAGAGTTAGCTTTTCTAACGCGCACCTGCCAATGTCATTGAAATGCCAGAGCAGTCAGTGGAAGCATCTCCATCAGGCTGCTTGGAAGTGATTCTTCCACAAAGAATTTGTACACAAAGTCAGAAGTGCAGTCCTGCAGGGGATCACTGTTGCTTCCTGCTTCTGGAGATCATTTGCCTGAGGGGTTATACTGTTGTGCTGGCTGTTGTCCGACTTCAGAGCTCATAAAGTGAAACGTTTGTCTGCTGGGGAAGGAAGGGTGCCTTTTGTTGCTTTATTTTAAAGAGTAACATCAAATACTGGGATTTTTTTTTTCTTTCTTTCCAGCTGTGATAGACAAAATGTCAGTATAATAAATGACCTACCCACCAGAATTTGCCATGAACCATTTAGTTGGACCGCCTGTGGGGGAAGTAAGTGAAGAGCCAGCAAATGGAGCAGTGAATGAATCAGTGGAGGCTGACCTGGAGCACTCAGAGGTGGAAGAGGAACAGCGGTATGCAACTCGCTACCCAAGACATATGAACAGCAGCCAAGGAGGCCTGTCTGGGCAGGAGGAAGAAGGGATGTTAGCCCGGTCAGCCAGCACTGAGAGTGGTTTCCACAATCACACGGATACTGCAGAAGGGGATGTGATAGCCACAGTGGAGGACAGTTACGACACAGAAAGAGTTCAGGAAAATGAGGATGAGAGCGCATATGCTGTGCAGTACAGGCCTGAGTCTGAAGAGTACACAGAGAATGCTGAGGCTGAGCATGGTGAGGCCATTCATAATCAAACATTGCCTAATCACTTACATTTCCATTCCATTGAACACGAGGAAGCCATGAATGCAGCATACTCAGGTTATGTCTATACACATCGGCTCTTCCACCGGGGAGAAGATGAACAGTATGCTGAGCCTTATGCTGACTACGGACTGCAGGAACATGTATATGAGGAGATAGGAGATACACCAGACCTCGATGCTAGAGAGGGTATCCAACAGTATGAGCGGGAAAGGGAGGAAGCCGATAATTACCGCAAGGAGGCACTTGGTGCCCGCCTTCACCATTATGATGAACGGTCTGATGGAGAGTCTGACAGCCCTGAGAAGGAAGCAGAGTTTGCACCCTACCCAAGAATGGATAGTTACGAACAAGAGGAGGATATTGATCAGATTGTAGCAGAGGTGAAGCAGAGCATGAGCTCCCAGAGCTTAGACAAGGCAGCTGAAGACATGCCAGAGGCAGAGCAGAGTTTGAAGCATGGTCATGCTCTTGTTGGTGATGGGCATGAAAGTAATGGCCATCTCCCAGCTGGTTCTCGAGTTACATCCAGCTCAGGAGAATCTGTACAGAGGTACAGTAAGGAAAAGAGAGATGCAATTTCATTGGCCATCAAGGATATTAAAGAGGCTATTGAGGAAGTGAAGACGAGGACCATCCGTTCTCCTTATACCCCTGATGAACCTAAGGAGCCTATCTGGGTGATGAGGCAGGACATCAGTCCAACCAGGGACTCTGACGACCAGAGGCCACTAGATGGCGATGTGAGTATACGAAGCTTTTATCTGTCAGGTTATGGATGTCTTATTCCTTTAACTGTGACAAAAATGGCAGTGAAGGAGGGTGCATTTTCTCTTTACTCGGTGACTCACCCTGCAGTAAAGTATGTAGTGCATTGTCAGTTTTGAATTAGTACTCTAGAGAGCATGTAAGAGGTAAGCATGTGCATGATCAGTGGGCCACATTTTAGTTTATGAAGCACTGCTGACCCCAGTACACCATATAAAAAATTGCCACACTAAGCTCTTTACATCTTTTTCTGAAACAAATGCTGTTCCATTTTTTACTGCCATAGGATATTTTAAAATAGCTACGAAACACTTTGTCCTCTGTAATCTATCCTTGTGTGGTTTTGTTAATCATAAATTTCACCTTTTGTCACGTAACAATCCTAACAATTCCAGCAGAAATCTGTCAATATCCTTTATGCTGGTATTGTAGATCAGGTTCATATTCCAGAAAACCTGCAGGTTTCTGTCCATTTGCGGGCTCTAGAAATGTAGATGATCTTACAGTCCGTTCCAACCTGAACCATTCTGTGATTCCATGATTTTATTTTTCCTGGAAAACTGTTGGAAACAGACAGTGATGAGTATGTCTGGATTGGTTGGGGTTTCTTTGCTTCTTCATAGTTTCATTGGATTTTTTTCTTTTTTCTTAAAAGCAACCTGTATTGCAAAAATTACTTTTACAGATATTTTTAAAATTATGTCTGTTACTAAGTTGATTAGCAGGCACAAGGAGGGCTAAAGCAATGTTCCCAGATTATTCTGTATGGGACAAAAATTATTTCTAACTTTAGAAGTTTCCAAAACCTATAATTTATTTCTCTCTCCTTTTATTAATAGATCACATTATTCTTTTGTTGTTCATTTTATTCACCACATTGCCTGTTTGTAAGTGGTGTCTTTGTCTGGAAGGATCAAGGAACTTTCTGTTGCCTTCTGATTGTCTAATTGTAACACCCAGTACCATGATGATCTCAGTGATGTTAAGTTGCAGATCCTAAAAGCACTGAATCCTTCCTGAAAGGTGCTCCAGCTGCTCTCCCAAATCTTGCTGCACCTTGCAGAATTTAACTTTTCTAAGGTATGCTGGTAGGACTCAGCCTGGTATGTTCATATAGTAAACAAAACAGGTGTTTCCACTGGTCTGTATATACCTGTCTGTATATTCCACTGGTCTGTATATACCTGCATACTACAGGTTTACGTTTTACACCAAAGTTAACTTCTTACTCAAGATTTTTCACAGCCCATTACGTAGGAGCCTAACTTAGATTTTCAGTGCTGGCTGGTAATCAAATCAGTAATGTATAATGACAGCATATCTCAGTTCAAGGATGGTTGTAGATGTGTGGGCAGACAGTAAAAGAGGAAGTAAATTAAGAAAATTGTTTACAAAGTCTGTGCAGATGGAGGGGAGTACATGCTGTAGAAGGGACTTGGGACTGGGTAGGAATTCTGTTTTTTGCTGAAGGTGAGGTATGCACTTGCTTTACTGGATTCTTTAATTCAGATGACAACTCATGAACAGTCCAAGCAGTCTGCTTTCTTTAACAAAGCATTCTTTCAATTTGGACTAAATGGCCATGAGTGATTAATTCTAATAAAAATACAGTTGAAGCCTCTTCATCTAAATGTAGGTTTTCCTTTATCTCCTTTGAGAAATAAAACAGGATCTCACACAGGAGCTTTTCAGTGTAACCAGTAGATGCCAGAGACGTTATTCAGTCTGATTTGTAACAGTGGCCTTGAAATAAGAAGGAATTATGTAAAGAGAGTGTTTTACCTTCAGGCAGACACCCTTTTCTTGCCCCAGAATTATCAAGGAGCTGCAGATAAGTAATGCACTGTGGGTGCTTTTGTTACCTTCAGTTGTTTTGCCAGACTACTTTGGAAATTGTGCGTTCATTGTTTTTTAACAAAGCCATTTTGCATTTAGAGGTAGAACATCCCTCTAAATATCTGTAATTGTTTTGTATTCTTAATCATATGATATTGAAACTGGTAAGACCTTTTTAGATCCAAATAGCAGTCACTTTTTATTTAGCTAGGAGCTCTCCATGAGAGACCACTGAAGCCAGGGAGTCAGAAGAGTGATTTGCAGTTGAGACTCGTGAAATAATGACAGCCTCTTTTGCCTTTTTTCACCAGAAAGCCACTGTTACTCCATAGTGCTGAGCATTTGGATGATATACTTACAGCAAAATATTTGGTAGGTACTAGTTTGAAATGTCCAGAGACTGTTTTGAGAAGCTAGTGTTCTGGAAGTGTTCAGCTTACCTGCAGCTGTGTATAGTTTAGGACTGTTAGGAAAGACCATGGTGATAATAAAGCTACAGATCACTATATGCATTTGGTTTTAAGATGCTCCATTTCCAGGTTTAGTCACAGTTTAATCTACCAGGAATTTCAGTCATTCCTGCGTATTTCTCCTCAAAAGAAGTATTTTGCAGGTATACAAGAAAAGAAAATTGCTCACAGTCCACAGGCAATTCTATTGTAATAGGCTCTGGTAGTCCTGTGGTCTAGGAGGCAGGCAGCAGACTTCTGTGAATAAATAAATAGTATACTGAATTACCTGCTTAATATTTAACAATGGAGAGTATTTGCTATTGTGTTCCTTGTGCACCCCATTACTGACACATGCTTTCCCTTTAGAAATGGTGTGGACATCTACTTTGTGGGGAAGGTGTTGTGTCTATTTGATAAAAGCTGAAAAATTATCTGTGTCCTTTGAATAAATACAGCAAGATATTTTATTATTTTTTTTATGTTGTTACACATATGAGATATGAATAATGGGCATATATTTCCAAAATATGTTTATTGGAATTTTATTTAAACCAAAGCAGACCATCACTCATATATAGCCTTGTGAGGATGTCTTTTCAAATACAGTAGTAGTTAGAGCTGCACAACTGCAAGAAATATGGCATTATGGTGGAAAAGTTTTGTGTAGTAGATATCTCAGAAACAATTAAACATAATAGTGTATAAACTGTACAGAAGGTCTAAAAAAGCATCTTAAAATGTCATAGCTTTGAAAATAGTGCTTGCTTAGCTGTGAAAGTACAGAGACCTGCTGAGAAAAGCCCTGAAAGACCAAAAAGCTCAGGTAGTTAAAGAGTATATCTGTCCTGTCATGTTCAAAGAAGAGAAGAAGGCTGCCTCCTTTGCTTCTGCCATAATCAGGAGAAAACAGTGGTTTGAAGGGAGAAGTTCTCCATTTCAGAACTAAATTCCATGACCTTTTTCTGGGGTCTATTCAGATATATGTGGGATTATAGATCTGAAATTCAAGTTTTGTTGACCTGCAGGGCATATTTTGTTGCTGTGTGCCAAGACTTTGGTTCTACAAAGCTCTCGTTGATGTTCACCATATCTGTTCCTCTACAGACACTTGAGGTGGTGGCATATTAGAATAAACCCTTATATAAAGTAAAACCATGTACATGGGTAGTTTGAATTTATGAAGTAGAAAATAAGAGCTGAAGACAAGCCTTTCAGGTAGAACAGAACTGAATTGCATTGTTTTGCTTCTCTCTTGGTTTTGATTACATGTATTTTATTTCAACTTTTGAGTTCTCAGTTACAGGATTTTCTCAATTCTGATAACTCCAGAAGTGAGGTATTTTCATGGAGATGAATTTTCTTCACTTCTTCCACAGCAGGAGTAATGTATTATTAACAAGGCAATAGACAAGTCTGTTTTAAATAATTAAGCAGGTTTCAGTAATAGATAAACTAAGGCGGGGGGAGGAAGGAGAGAGAAAGAAAAGAAATGAAACAGAGATGAGTTTGTATAGATAGGATATTTTCTTTTTCTGAGCAGACCTTTTTAAATTGTTGGCTGAGCACACAGAATACAGGTCATCTTTCTGTCATCTATGTGAGACCACAGCCTTAGTTAAAAAAAAAAATAAATCACATCTAAAAACCCCAAACAAAAAATCATTAAAAAAAACCAAAAACATTTTAATATCCAGGGATGAAAGCTTTTTTGCTAATTCATTGATCACACAGAAGAAAAATCTATCGATTAGTCTCTGTGAAGACAAACACTCTCCAGATGAGTTACGGCCTTTTAAATTACAGTGAGCACTGGGTACTTAGCCCCTTTAATTTTTTTTGTTTGTTTGTTTTATGATGGTTTTTAATTATTGAAAGATTAAAGCAATTTCAAGTGATGTTTCTGTGCTGTTGAAAACTAGAACAGCACTTGTTACAGTTAAAGTCTCTTGAAAACCCTTGAGAGATCCACACTAAATTTTTCAGACTGACACATGAAGCTACACTCAAACTATGAGTTCAAGTGAAAGTGCAGCTAAGGAAGTCTGTACTTGAGAACGAGAAGCAGCCAGCAGTGAACCAGCTTCCAGGAGCCCTGCTGTGCTGGCAGCCTTCCATCCAGCATGCATGCTGCTGAATGTACCCTACCCACACTGCATGTGTGCGTGATCTGATGGGCAGTCAGAGTCCATACAGGCTAAGATTTTATTCAAAGACAAGTTACCAACTTATAGTGTGTGGCTGTGGTACTGCATGATCCCTGCTATTGACTCAGGTGGCCAAGAAATGGGCAAAATAAAGCACCATCTTGCCTAACAGCTCGGTTACATTTATTGTTTGCTCATTCAGACTTTTCTGTGTCAGATCTAAACCTCCATGTATTAGAATCATAGAATCATAGAACAATTAGGGTTGAAAAGGCCCTTAAGATCATCTAGTTCCAACCCCCACTTCTTAGGTATATTAGGTATGTTCTTAGGTATATTTTTAATTTGTAGTTGGGACTTAGTAATACAACAGTAAGAGGTGGGGGTCTTTCTTCAAAGACTTTGACAGAGGTATACAGTCATTGCTTAGGTCAAGATCTCTATTTTTGTAACTTCAGTTAATTTTACTGAAGAATTTCAACTCAATGGAGGTGTGCAGACACTCATGGGCAGTGTGTTTCTTTTTAAAGATGTAGTTTATTCAGAGCTGTTATTATTCAGTTTATTATTTCACATGGTAGACAGTCAGGTCTCTCAAGTGGGATTGTCAGTCATTGTCCAGACAGTGACGATTGGCAGGAGGCTCCATCACGGCATGGCATCGTTAGCTGGATCAGGGGAGATTCCCCAGACTGAAATTCCCCAGACTGCTTTTGTTCTCAGGTCTTACATGCAGCTGGTCTGTGATCCTACATGGCCGCTCTAGCACAGGGGATCCATTACTATAGTTTACCTTAAGCTACATGCGAAATACCTCCTATGTTAACTGTGTACATACATGACTTTATCTGCATGTGCAGGAATAGTTTCTATTGACTACCGGGAAGTTCCTTATCCATATGCAGTTTGGTGCTTTTTGCAGCAGAAACTGTGTGGGAGAGCTGTTGGGTCAGCCAGATGACCTGCCTGGATTGTAGTAAGGTAGTAGTTAGCACCCTCAAGTGATGAGTTGTGCCTCTTTCATATCCCAGGAAGAACCTGCTTGGGGAATTTCTAAGACTGCCTGAAATTCCTGGATGGAGAGGTCATATAGTAATTAGTCAAATGTGTTGCTCTGAAGCAAGCAGTTCAGTTAGTTACCTTGTCTCAGATCAACTCACTATCACCTGCATACAGTGGCCTGGGGCAAGTCCTGGACCACCCATCAGTTTGCTGACTGGTGGATAAGTGCACTGGGTATGTGCAGAGGCAGTTACATCTCAATTACAGTTATACCACAAGTACAGTCAAAGCTGAGTTTCATCCTTATGTCACAGTTACAAATTGATATATTGTGCCACAGGACGCATGAATGCGTACAGTAATTCTGAATTGGCTTTACTTTTTCAAACTCTCCATTTTTAACAATGTAGTTAAAGCAAATTTAAACAAAGGCAATTGATAGTGATATTTAGCTATATTGTAAGGAAATTTAGCGTTCAGTTCCATTCTTTATGGGTACTTTTTGTTGTCTAAAAGCTATGAATATGTTGATGGTCTTGGTCTACATTTTAGTGAACAGAATTTGAACTGTTCAAATCACAGCAGACGCTCTGCCATGGCATAGTTGTGATAAAAACAAAGACATTTACTGCCCTAGTTATGCTGTACTGGGCAGTGCTTGTGAAATTATACTTGCATGTGGGACCTAAATGTTTTCATATTGCTTTGGCATTTGCCTAATATGTATGGGTCCCTTTTTATCACTAAAATAAAATAAATTTAAAAGCCTTGCCTTATCTACTTGCCTACTCCGAACTAATGTACAGGAAGACAGTATTTGCCATTCCTCTGCCAAAAAGCCTTATGTAGACATTACTGTTAGGTAAATAATGCCCTTTTGTTTAAGTGAATCTTGCATTACTGAAGTATTTATTGATTTCATGCCCTGTGTCCCAGCCATGTATGTGATCACGTGACCCACTAGGTTATACTCTTCTAAGATATGCTGCTGATAAGAGCAGGTAAAACTACACTGCTTTTATAGACCAAGAGCTTCATGAGCTATTCAGTAGCCAGCTGGATCTGTATAGGTTAAGTGCTCCACAGTCCTCTTCTGTTACAAGTTCTGTTACTAAATCCCTCTGCACAATAGCAAGGAGGGTTTCTCAGCTGGAGTGCACTGTGTGTTAGTCAAACAACACCAAAATTGAGATGGAGAATTTTTGGATGTACCAGGTTGAGTATCGTAAAAAAAATGTAAGTACATATTTTAAGAGGACAAATGGGGTGAATAGTGCTTTTTTTGTTGCTGAACCTAAGGGAACACTTTGTAATTCCATTGATGAACCTCTTTGTATAATAACAGTATGCTTTCCATGAACTTACTGTATGTGTTCTGACAGCATTTTTCTTAGGCTTCTAGAACTTGTTTTGTTAACAATGATGCAGTCACTAAGAATTTAGACTTCAGTTGAAGTGTTTTGGGGGGTTGTGCAAGTTCTTTATCCACTATGATGTATCAAAATATTTCTTGTTACTGCTGTGACTGAATTCTTGCCTTGTGCATGTATATGGTACCTCTAAAATGCATTTTGATGTGGAGCAGAACTGAGTTCTTATTCTTCAAAGACTCAACTTTTTTGTACAGATGTCCTTGGAGACAGCTCTCACGTGTTGTCATGTAGCAAACTTTATAGGATGTTTCTTGTAGGGGTTTTAGTTTGTTTTTTTTTTGTTTTCTGTTTTTTCCCCAGAAAATATTTGAGTAGACATTCAAACAGAGCACATGGAAAGCCATGTGATTGTTTTAATGGTTGCTAAATTCTGATACTCTTGTCGATGAAAATAGCTGAGTAAAAGTATTTGTAGTGCTACTGGAGTAACTGCTAATGCATTTTAAATGGTGCAGAATTTTTTAATGTCAGCAACCAACTGGTTTAAATAGATAATGTTACCACTTTAGTATGTGAATACATGAGTTTTCACTCATTTAAAATAACTTTTTGTTTGTGGAGACATTTGATGCTGAAAAAATAATACGTTTTACTTTGTTTCTTTGTTTGCTATTTAAACCTCAATCCTACAATATTCCACTGTCATTATTAGGTTGAGAGTATTGCACATCTTTTGTATTTAATTTTAATCCAGAAATACTGTGTAACAGTGGGGAATGTGAGCGCTATGAGGACGATTCATGAAGTCAATAGGAGTTGCCATATGTGCAGTTGAGACACTATGTAACTCTGTAACCAGCAAGCAACCCTTCAGTCTGGTGGCCCACATGTCTGTGTCCTAGGAACCATTTCACAGCTACATGTGGTCAGAGACTGTTATAAGCTGCATGTCCTTTTTACCCTGCAGTTGTAACTCAAAATACAGGGAGGTGCAAGGACTGCGCTTTTACCTGCATAATGGGGAATTGCTTCTTAACTCTTTGGAAGCCTTTATTAGTTAATTATAATTCTAATATTTAGTAATTATTGAAGACAGACCTTTTAACAATGTGAGGGTAAAGAAAAATAGGAGGAGAATGGAATTCTATTGGTTTGTTCCATATCTGGGAAGCTAAGCTTGCAATTCTTAGTTGGGTTTTGGTGTTGTTTTTTTTTTGTGGGGTTTTTTTTGTTGTTGTTGTTGGTTGTTTTTTTTTTTATATAAATTATTATTGTTCTTATTTTTGATTTTGTTTGTATACTATTTCATAGAACTCAGTGTTTTAGCTAGAGTGGAGGCATAGCAGAAGGGAATTTCTAGATTGCAGCTGCTGCCAGCTCTGAGCACTGGAAGAGTAGCTCTTTTCTGGTATGATCCTTGGCTTAGAGAAAAGCTGTATCATGTAAATGCCTGTGAAACCAGGTATGGCATTTGATGGTTTTGCCATCCGTGTTGAACTTCTGAGCTGGAAAGCTAGGGCCAAACTCCTTATGTCAAATGAGAATGCAGAATGGCAGGACTGCTGGGGTAAACACCCAGCCTGCATAGCTAAAATACTAAACCTTCCTTTGAGAATTCACATTTTGGCATGCATACTGACATGTTTTGCATGTATGTCCTTAAGATTGGCCTTTAAATATGCCTGCTGAGTTAAAGCTTTGTACTGTCTTCCATTTTGATCACTTTCATTAATTTCACACTCTGTGTTCTTGTGATGTGCCCCAGTAGCATTCCCCCTGGTCTGGACTGATTATACCTCACTACAGTTTTTTAGTGTCACCAACATTCATTAGGAATCGAGTATGATTAAAATAGCCTTTCCCTTTACCAAGGTACTTGCTGAAGGATCATATAGCTCTAGATATTCCATAATACTGTTTTTCTGTGCTGTTCCCTTTGTTTTCCTGTTACATCATTCTTGACGATTGTGAATGACTAGGAGAAAACTGGAAGGACAGTTTCTCTACTGAATTGTTTACAATGAAGGAATTAAAATGAGGAAAGCTGACCTAGAGAGCATGTATAGTACTGAAATCATGGTGTGAACTGTGAAATATTTTCCAAATTTGTACTCGAAGGTGAGGAATCATAGTCCTTGATTACACTGGTATTGAGTAGTCCTTGAATATATTCCAATTAAGCCCTTGAATACATTAGTACTACCTTGTACAATTTATAAAAGCTGTTTTCTCAAATGACGGATTAGTATTTGTGGACAATCACTGTAGCCTATCTCTTCTCAGATTAGATTAGTTTAGCTCTTCAGATTAATTATACCTGAGAGCATGTGTGCTTATGGAGAAATTGCAGTCTTCAGTCTCCTCAATTTGACAGCTAAGTAATCTTTAGCTGAATCCCTGTGTTCTGATCATGGTCAACTCACCTGTCTTACCACAGCTTCCTTACTTAGTGACTTTTATTTCCTAGCATGTCAGAGTTTAGGACATGGGTTTATACCGCCTGCAGCCTTCACTAGGGTGAGCCCGATACCCATATCAGATGATCGTCCATTCACCTTGCAAAAATACAGTTTCATGGCACACTTTTTTGCTGAGTGCTGCTTGTACAGCTTTTTATTTTTCCAAATGTTTAATTTCTTATATTACTGACAAACAAACACAGGGTTTTTTAAAAAGGTGTAGCTGTTGAGAGTAAGTCCACGGAAATATTGATATATGATCATCACAAGAAAAAGCATGGGTTACATTTTTAAACTGTTTCGGGTTTTGGTTTGTTTGGTTCGGGTTTTTTCTATTATTATTATTGTTATTATTATGATTATTACTACTTCTATTATAATTGTTCTGGCTTTTCTATTTTCCCCCCTCATCTCTTATTTCCATTGCCAAGTCAGAAGAAAATCTGAAAGAAGAATTTCCACATTGGTTGTTCAGATTATTGTTGATTTTCTTGTCATGTTTAGTCTCCATCTCCAGATTCCTCTTCACCTCGAGGTGCTGAATCAAGTAGGCAACATCAGCAGGAGACCTCCACTAATAAAGAGGTAAAGTGAAATCTTTCTAAAGTCTTGTTCATGCTGCTTATGCTTTTTTGTCTTTCTTGCCCCCTTGTGCCTGTGTAATCCCTTATCTTCTTCCAAAGTTGCGACAAACTCGAAAAGCTGATTTCTTGCTCCTTTTCCGTCAAGTTTGTCTGGCTGCTGACTGAATTTCAACATACTTAAGACTGTTTATCATAGCATTTCTGAGTCTGTGTTCAGCAGCCACTAAATTTATTAATCAGGCTGGGAGGTATTGATTTATCAAACAGCTAAATCATCTCAGTTTCAGAGACAAAAGAAATCAGCCTTTTTGTTTGTTCCCTGCAGAATGTCTTCCTGCCAAGAAAAAAAGTGTTTCTCAGCCAGATAAAAAAGCTTGCTTACATGAAATTAATTAGGTCGTAACTTATAGTGCTTAATGTTTTGCCATCGTAGAAACTGACTTTTCAGTAATTCACAGTCAGAATTTATTTCCAGGCTCCTTAAAATAAAGCTAAATACTTCATTGCTTACCAACACAAAGTGAGATGTGTGAGTAGAACTCACAGTGTGAAAAGAAAATAATTTGGCATTAAGTATTTGAATTAGCATAGAATGGCTGGCTCTGTAAACAGAAATATCTGCAAATATTTGGTTTGTTTGCCTTCTGTTCTTTAAATTTCAGAAAAATGTAGGAACTGTAGTCTAACAAGATACCATATTGTTACTGATAGCAATGCATGAGTTATGTTGCACAGTGAAAAAAACTGATCTACTGTAACTGGAAATACTAATTAAAATGGAAACATTAGCTAGTAATCCATTATTTCTTTTTTCTTTTGCTATTGACAAGGGATAAAAAAGCTTGTAACATACAGGTATTTGTGCCAGTCTGTATTTGTGTTTAGAAAATAATAAAAGGTTTCAAAAGACTTGAGAATCTCCTATTAAAGCCCTTAAAAATAGATAGTGTCATTAAATGTTCATCTGCTGTATTGTTATCTTGTTAAAGCCTTTAGCATTCTTCTGTATGGATTTTTGTCACTTTATATATATTGTAACTTTTAGCAGTTTTTGGGCATCAATGGACTTAGCCAAAGGAAAAAAATAAACAAGACACTACTTACTTCAGTTTTTAGGTTGAGTTCCCATGTAGTGTCAGAGATGGTAAACCAGGTTTCACAGTAGAATCTGTCAGGCTGTTTATTTCCCTTATATGAGCAATAGTTTCTGCTTTAGTACTTCCAAGGCAAGAACAACAGTGATAAAACAGCATCATAAGTATGGGGAATGACTTTTAGGTCTTAGTAAACCCTCTTTTTTAATATAAATTTTATAATAGTAGGTGGCAATGAGGCTAGCAAGAGAAATGAAACATTAATGACTTTGATATTTCATTATTCATGGATATGTAAAATTAAAAGGTATAAGTTTCCTCCTATTGGTAACTTTACCAGTTACTTTACTATTCTTGTGGTCGTAGTAGAGTGTCTTTCATCCTGGGTAATGAAAAAAAATTGCTTGATTTTTTTTGTGTAAGGTTTTACAATGAAAGCATATGTGGTGACAGTTTACATCTCTCTGCCTTGAAAAGAAGTTGCATCAGCTAGTAGATTGCTGAAGAGCTGTTAAATCTCTACTAACACACTGTGCTCACCCTGCTTAAAAAAATAAAAAAAAAAAAGAAGAAAAAGAAAATACTTTGGAAAGTGCATTTATATGCATGAGCTGTCTGGTGCATAGGGGATTTGCCTTTTAGGTCTGTCAGAGCCAAGAGGTTGAATCTCCCTCTTACCATTGCACCACTAGCACTTACAGACAATTTTTAAAGTCTGTATGGGTATGTGGTCCAGTAAAAACATTCACCTGAAGAGATGAAAGAGCCAGGTATGAAAAGACATGTCAGTGCCCTGACAGAAGCTTAAGGGCTTCGGCAGTGGGAGGTCACTGTTTATTGGCGTCTTTATGCTAGTGCAATCTCTGATGGAGAGCTTTCTTGGTTTCACAGTACAGCTTAGTCAATTTCATAAGGAACAGCAAGTACATAGAGGCTGCACAGGCTTTGCTGTCTGTCACACACTTTTGCTTTCATTTCACAAATCTTATTTTATACAAGATGAGCATCACTGATTGAAAAATACTACTTGCTATTCATCTTCTATTTGTTACAATGGAAAAGACTTCTTGGGATTAGTCAACAAACCTGCCACATAACTAGTTTACCTGGCTTTTTCCACCAGTACACAGAACCTAATAAGCTGGCTGACCTAAAGGAAAATAATCTGGTGTATATTTCAATGTATATTGTCTGGAAATATACTAGAAGATGTCTAAGATATTATGCATTATTCTAGATTTTCTTTTAATAAAACTGTGTGAAGCATTGAAAGAGTTACTGCTGATACAGTCAGTGACAGGTTCAGTGGCAAGCTTTGTAATACTCACTATCCAGACTTTCCAAAATTCTTACCTGCAACACATATGATAGCAGCTGATATTTCAATATCTCTATTACCATCTATATGTTGCCATATAGAGTTTTCTTTGATAATTTTTTCTATGTGGTTTTCATATGGATCATGACAAAACGGTGAAGCTTACTGAAAGTTATCTTTCAGGTGTTTGAAGCGTTAAGACGTAGAGTCTTTCACACAAAATAGCAGTTGCAAGTAAGATCTTAGACTTTAAACTCTGTATTTACATATGAAAATCAGTATGTTATTTATTTTTTTACCTTTTGTGTAATTGAAGCTATGAGGTGTAGATTTGTGCTTGATATTATGTAAACACAGTTGGTAGTCAAGTGGTAGTGAATTCAGTTATCCCACAGAATACAGGTTGCTACCTAAACTGTTGAAATTTAGAAAGCTTTTTAGTGCGAGGGCTGCATTAATGCAAGGGGTACATCTAAGAACAGTCCTGATGAATAATAGGATTAGGGTAATGAGTAACAGAATTTTCTTAATGAATGGGTGACTGGGCTGATGGTTTCAGTTATGAAAGCTGTTTATTCAGTATAGCATAATTTTATATATTCCTGTATGTATTTGTTCTTAGTTGGAAGATCCAGTGTCTTTGAGATATGACACATTTTTGTGCAACCTATTGATAGTAAAAGTAGAACATCTATTGATAGCAATTAGTATACTACTGAACACCAACAAGTAACTGAAAATTGGGCATAGTATGTTGCCTGAGAAAGATGGAAACCGAATGCATCATTTAACTCTAGTAGGTGCTTAGAGTTTCAAAATACTAAATAAAATAATAAATTTTAATAAGTGGTCATCTTCCTTTGCTCATAACTATGACTGATTAACTTTTTTATTTTTTAGCATATTTGTGCATGCTCTGTTCTGTTTGAAATCCTTTTTGTCTTAATTACAGTCCAGAAAAAGTTTGGCTTCATTTCCAACCTATGTTGAAGGTAAGATAGTTCTACAATTTCTAAATCTAAATGGTTTTTAATACTAAAAAAAACCAACCTGGAGTATTTGTAATACATTAAATTTTATTTGCTGAAAAGCTATTAGGGTTGGGTATGTTGATTTAGATTAAATTGTATCCAGTCTGGAACCTGAGCTAAATCCTACTATTCTGTTTCAGAAGTTCAGACTTTTTAATGTTTAATTCGTAGTTTCTGTGTCATTTCTGCTGTTTTCTTTTTAAATCAGTATCAGCAGCACAGTTTTTTTTATTGTATTCACACAGTACATATGAATGTGTGTGGACAAGGAAGATAGGCTAGGCAAGAAGACTGTAGTGCTCTTTCCAGCACTGATTGATTAATCCAGAATTGATTAATTGGATTAATTGGCAGGCCTGCAGGTGCTGCTTTACAACTACTTGTCCTCCAGTTAAATAGTACTTACAGTCTTAGGGTTAAGGTTGCATTTGTACAAGTGCTTAATTTATTCAGAACAATGTGAAAGAGCAAGTTGCCTACAGCATGAACTGTTGTTAATTTTTTTATAAGTGTTGTGGTTTGAGCCCAGACAGTAACCCAGAACCACACAGCCACTCGCTCACTCCCCTTCACTTCCTCCCCCCACTCCTGGAGGGATGGGGAGGAGCATCAAAAGAATGTAACTCCCAGGGATTGAGGTAAGAATGTCAGTAACTAAGGTATAACACAAACCACTGCTGCTGCCACCAGTAATAATAATAATAATAAAGGAAATAACAAGGGAAGAGAATACAACACCTCACCACCCACCAACTGATACCCTGCCTGACTCAAGCAGTCATCTAGCCCTTCCGGGTAACTACCCCCAGTTTATATAGTGGGCATGATGTGCTGCTGTATGGAATACCTCTTTGGCTAGTTTGGGTCAGGTGTCCTGTCTCTGCTTCCTCCTGGCTTTCCCTCCTCCTTGGCAGAGCATGAGGCTCAGAAAGTCCTTGGTCAGACTAAACATTACTGAGCAACAACTAAAACCATCGGTGTTATCAGCATTGTTCCTAGGCTGAAAGGCAAAAGCACAGCACTATACCAGCTACTAAGAAGGAGAAAAATGACTGCTGCTGCTGCTGAACCCAGCACAATGAATTTGCGTTTCAAGTATACAGGAAGACTGCATGCTGTAAAACTTAGTCATTTTGTTATGAGGGCATGACAGAAGGGGAAAATTTGAAGTTTCATCTGCCTTTTTTTATCCCTGTCAGTGGTAGTTCCAATCGAGCATTTCATCATATGCTTCATGAAATGCCAGAAATACTGTTAATACTATACATCATTTAGGCTGTCTTGGAAGTTCTTGAATTGCTTTACAGGGTGCTGTGTCTAAGTGATTATGTGATAGTTCTCTTTAGACTACAAATTAATCACTTGTTTAGACATCAGCATATAAACTGCATACTTTGGAGTCTGTGGCCAGAATGTCGACTAATGAAGATTTTGTATATTATCTTGAAACTAGCTGAGATTTGGAATATTGCAGCAATGAAGGATCTTTCTTAGAACTGAAAGTCATCTGCTAATGGTAGCCCTGTCTATCAAGGGCTATTTTGAATAATCTTACCGTCCTTAGAAAGAAAAATAACATTATAAACTAAAATTTTCTTAGATATTATCCAGTGCAAAATTCCTTACAAAAGAAAATATTTCCATTTTTATGCACTAGCAGTAGAAGAAAAACTTCTAACACCTATCCTACATTTTCATTCAGATAATAATTTCATTGTCAGGTAATAAAGGGAGAGGTCTTTCAAAAAGCAGTGTGGTCTGTGTGTTCACCTCTGAAAATACAGCACATACCTTTTTTTTTCGTTTTCATATGCTTTCTTCTGCAATCTTTATCTACGTCTTTGTCCGTATTAATGGGTTTTGTGTTTTGGTCAGAAATCATACTCTAAAGGGGTTTGTACCCTTTATAGTGAAGGGGTGGAAGTGGTGAAAAGGCCTTGACAGGGTAACAAACAAGAACGCTTAAGATGCTGTATGGTTTCAGGACTGGAGGAGTGTACATATACGTAGTTCTTCCAGATGCAGGAAAAAAAATTTCTTTGTGTCATGTACTTGGAAGAGGCTTGTTAATTTTTAGAGTTTTTCAGGTACATAGTATCTGAACAAATTCTGCACACTGGAGATGAGCATCTTAAAATTACTAGTCATAAACTTTAAGATTTAAAGAAACCATAAAGGAGACAAGCTTGCTCGTAAGATTTATACATCTCCTTCCGGATGTATATTTGTCAGTGTGATATTTATCTCCAGTTCTTTCTTCTGTTGTTATAATCTTAATAATGACTCATTTCTCTGGGGCCCCTGCTTATTTTGAGGGGTCATTAATCTCTTCTATTATGATTAGAACAAAGTTGGCATTCTGAGTTATATTAAACTTTAAGCCCTGTCTTATATCTGAAGATGACCCTTGAACAAATAAAAACTCTATTCTGATATTGTAGGGATTTTTGCTTTCTTCTTAGAGTAATGAAAGGCAAATCTTAAGAGTTTGTTTTATTGATGATAAAATGTAGGCATTTTTACCATTAGCAGTCTTGTAAGTTTATTTGCATTTTCACTTGTTCTGAACATCAACTTTTTTTTCCTTACTTCTGAGAAAACTAGAAGCTCCTTCAGTTAACCAACCTCCCTATTGGATCATGACAATTTTAACATGTAGCAAGGAGTCAAAATAAAACATTTTTACGTACACGATTTTTAGATATAATTGCCAAACTCCAGAACTCTTAACAGATCATAAATTTTGCTCTGTAAGGATTTGCATTGTTAGGCACTGAACACTTCATCACCCTCTAACTTTCCACAGAAGTTGGTGGGAGTCAGATAATTAAGAAACTGTGAAACTAAGGGAGTTGTTTTGCCATCCTGCTCTCTGTTTACCAACGTTATAATTTAACTCTATACCTCCGTATCCTTATTGAGAATGAGTGATTCTTAAAGGTCTATGGCATAAAAATGCTTTGCTTAATTGAGCAGTCTTCTTGGTAAGGAGAGATGTGTTGTACCTGCAAAGCATCCCTGGGAGTTTGCTCTGCCTGTTGTACTAACTGCAGCTAATGCACAAGTGAGCAAGTGGCTGGTGGCTGTTACTAAATTGCAGCCTTCCTCTTTCTGTTTATGACTGTCGATCTTAGAACTGCAAGCTTGGTTTTGGTGGATGAGGGGCGAACTGAGTAACTGTGTATGTCCCTTTGTAACGGTGAAAGCTAGCAGAGATTTTGCTCCAGGGTGATCCCTGCTCACAAAAGAATGAGTTATTCTGAGAAACAGGCTGCATTGACAATTACAGCTTTTGCTGGAGACATGATGTTTGCATTGTCAGATTTTAGTAGCAGGGGGACTACAGGATGGTTTCTGTTGGAAGCAGCTAGAAGCTTCCCTCCTGTCCAGCAGAGCCAATGCCATCCAGCTCCAAGATGGACCCACTGCTGGCCAAGGCTGAGCCCATTAGTGATGGTGGAAGCACCTCCTGGATAACATATTTAAGAAGGGGGGGGGGGGGGCCCCCCCCAAGCTGTACAGCAGTAATTGCAGTCAGAGAGAGGAGTGAGAACATGGAGAGAATCAGCTCTGCAGACACCAGGGTCAGTGCAGGAGGGGAGGAGGTGCTTCAGGCACTGGAGCAGAGATTCCCCAACAGCCCGCGGTGCAGACCATGGTTAGGCTGCACCCCTGCAGCCCATGAAGGTCCACAGTGAAGCAGATTTCACCTGCAGCCCATGGAGGACCCTACGCTGGACCAGGTGATGCCTGAAGTAGCCTGTGACCACATGGAGAGCTGGAGCAGGCTCCTGGCAGGACCTGTGGGTGCATGGAGAGAGGAGCCCAAGGAGCAGGTTTGGTGGCAGGACTTGTAACCTCATGGGGCACCCATGCTGGAGCTAGTTCGTTCCTAATGGTGTGCTGCACCCTATGGAAGGGATCCATGCTGGAGCAGTTTGTGAAGAGCTGCATATAATGGGAAGGACTCAGGTTGACGAAGTTGATGGAGGACTGTCTCCTGTGAGTGAGACGCCATGCTGGAGCAGGGAGAGAGTGTGAGGAGTCCTCCTCTGAGGAGAAAGAGCAGCAGAGACAACATGTGATGAAGTGGTGAACTGACTTCAACCCCCATTCCCTGCACCACTGGAGGGGAGGAGGTAGAAACCTGGGGAGTGAAGTTGAGCCCAGGAAGAAAGGACAGGTCAGGGGATGGTGTTCTCATGATTTGTTTTTATTTCATGTTAACCTACTCTGATTTGACTGGTAATAATTTCCTCAAGTCAAATCTGTTTTCCCTGTGACAGTAAATGGTGAATGATAACTCCCTGTCATCTCAGCCTACAAGCCTTTCATTATATCGTTCTTCCCTGTCTAGTGGAAGAAGGTGACTGATAGAGCAGCATTGGTGGGCTCCTAGCATCCAGCAAAGGTCAACCCACCACAGATATTGTGAGCATTTGTTTGGTATTTTGTACCTTTGAAGGTACTGGTTGCTATGTCATGATGCTAAACTGAAGTATTTTAGAGGAGGATTTGCAGCCATCAGGTACAAGCTCAAGTTGTCGCAGTGCTACGGGTTTGCTCTGGTGCAGCATGATTTTCTTCAGTGACTGCTTTCCTGTGTTACAGTTCCTGGACCTTGTGATCCTGAAGACTTAATTGATGGAATCATTTTTGCTGCCAATTACCTTGGCTCAACTCAACTGCTTTCTGATAAAACTCCCTCCAAGAATGTGAGAATGATGCAGGCTCAGGAAGCTGTCAGCAGGATCAAGGTGAGAAATAATTCCTGCTGCTTCTCATACGGGTGCTTTAAGGTTGTGGGTATAAACTTATTGTGTATGTAGTAGCTTTTTCATGTGAGGTTATTGGGAGTTTCAGAAAGGTTAAGTGCCTTATCTTTCTGCAAAAATAAATCACGTAATTAATGCTGATTTTGGAACAGGATTGATAAGTAACCAAATAGTTTTAATTCCCTACAGTAATACTTGTGCTGTGTATGCTAAGCAGGAATCTGAAGTGAGTGGTGGTCTAAGTTATATATTACTTGGATGTGGAGGGAAAGTAGGCTTAGGGTATAACTAGTAAGTACTGCAGCTGCTTCTGGCTTGGCACTTTTGGTGGAACTGGTAGTGTGTTAATTTCTGCAGTTATTTTTGACCCTGCTATGGATACTAGTTTCTCTACCACATAATTGCTACGAGCTGATTTAGAAAGAAAAGGAAATCCTGCGATGGTGCAGAGATGTGTGGAAAAAAATAATTTGGCATGTGGTATGTTAGTTTTGTCTATTGAAATTAAAGTGTATGGATGAAGTATTACATGGTTGTAGAAGACGCTGCACTATTGCCACTACCCATACATGACTGGATGGTAGGCACAGAGCTTCATCTTCTGCTAATTCAACTAACCAACACAATCTCAACTGAAAGTTTTCCTTAGTTTAATATCTGTGTGTTCTTCTTTTGTATAGTTTATACTGGATTCCAACTCAGACTCTGTGTGCAATTGTATAAAAGAGAGAGGAAGAGAAACAGCATGTTATCAGCATGGATGTTAGCACTGTCTATTAAGTCGGCTGATCCCTCTTGCTATTCCTTCAGATGTTTTCCATGCCAGGTGTTCAGTTTGGTCTGTGTTTGAAACTTTGACAGGGAAGCTCTACCTAGAACGGTTGAGACACTTCCAGAAACTTTAATTTTGTTGATGTTCAAATACGTGAGTTCTTGTAACCTTGTCTCTGAAAATCACTGACATCTAGCATTTTCGAGGAGGCAGGGATATAGCCTCTGACAGATAAGTCACTTTCTGCTCTCTCTGTAGAAGTTTCCATGGACTTAAGCAGTAATGGCCTTTTGAAAAAAAGAACCATTTATCCATGTTCATTGGAGGCTCTGAATTCAGTGACATGTTTTAAAAGTTTTTTTCACTCAGCTCTCTCAACTCTGGCAGGTCTTGGTGGGTTCTTCACAAAACTACAGTGGAGACTTTCCCTTACACACTGTGCTTCTTTACTGCTCTGGGTACAAGTAAGGCTATGCCTCTCTAATAGTCCCCTTGGCCACATGGTAGAAAAAATGTCTGATTTGAATGCACAGGAAAGTAAAGGTAAGATAGAGAAAGGAGTGAAGTAAGGGCTTCAGTGAGGCAGGGTCTAAGAGGCTGAAAGAAAAGATTAACATCAGCTCTCATAGAAAACTGGTATCAGGGGTTGGATCTGGGGCTGGACAGGAATTTTGCACCTAGGAGGTAAAGCTTGTCTGGGACTAGGCAATAGACAAAGATTGAAGGGATGTACTAGAGAAAAATGAAACAGAACTGATTCAAAGCAGGCCCAGATGATAGCAGAGTGTAGAATCTCTCCCTGCTGCTAACTGTATTTCTTGGAAAATCGTTAACAAAATAAAGTTCTTTCTGAGGATTCCGTTGTGCCTCAGCACTGCTGTGCCCCAAAACAGAAGAAATCTGTTTAGCTTATTTTACTCATAAAGCTCATAATTTATACATCCATAAAAATCATCAGGCATGCATGTTCTTGGTTGTAGTAAATTTGTCTTGGGATGGAGGCCCAAGGAGTTGCATTGTTGACCAGGTGAGACCCTAGCTGGTATGCATAATTTTCATACAGTGTAAGTGTATTTCAGCAAATTACTGGCTTACTGCATGGCACTCAATACCATTGTACACTGCTTTTCTGATTCCAGGTGAAGCTCAAGCAATGCAGATTTACCTCCCTGTACCTTAGGGTCTTTGATTTATTGGGGTTGGTTTGGGCTGCTTTTGTTGCTTATCACCATTAAAGCTAAACTTTTATATTGAGAAATTCATTATGACAGATGGGAGTTCCTGCTGCCACATTTGTCACTGCAGAAGATAGCCTTTAGCCCAAATGTGTAAAATATTGCTCACAAAATGAGTATAATACTTGTGCCCTACTCATGTTTGTTTACAGAATGTGTTAGGTGTTGCATACGAAATATTTCTATGCAGTTAAAGAAAACAAAGGTTATTTATTAAGAATGAACTTTTAAAACTTTGCAGACTTGAAGTTAAGAGTATTAAAAAGGTGGGGAAAAGCTTTGTTTAAGTCCCAGTGTGTACACATACCTTCCATATGAGCATATTTTGAATTTAATAATCTCTATGATGCTTTCTTTTAGCAGAGCCTTCAGACCACATATTCATTCATTTAGAATATGAACAGATTTTGAAAACAATTCTTCATGCTGCTTCTTTAAATAAGTAGCTATCAGTTAAAAATACAAGAGTATTTTTGCTTCAGTTTTCATCTCTGTGAAGTCCAACTAAGTTAAAAGAGGTACACTGCTTTGAAGGCACTCATCAGATGTAGCTATTTCATATTTCCACTGGGAGGTACTTTTAGGAAAGGCATTTCACCGTATTTATTTTCTCAGCATAGAGAGAAATATCTTTTTACATTTACTTGGAATGCATCCATAATACTTGTAACACAGAAAAGTTGATGTTCATGGTTGCAATTCACAGCTGATCTGCGTTGTAACTTTTTCACATGTGAACTAAATATTAACTGTTCTTTTTATTTTTCATCAGCACATTTGACCTGTGTGAGAGTTTTGAACATTTTTAGATTACTGAATGTAGTTAAAGATCATACCCATTTGTGGAAATAGTTTAATATTCTGCATATTTTGTTTGCTCAGTGTTATCTTGGTGTTTACTGAGTGGCAGTACATTTTTTGTATAGGTTAAATGGGCTTGAGTATATTTAAGACATCCTTGTAGCATTAAATGGAAGCGTGCTGGTTCTTCACAATTTGTAATTTTGGAATTGCTACTTGATAAATTATTTTATTTTATTTATCTTGAACAAAAACCCGAAATCTGAATATTTAAGAAAAAAAACAACAAACCAACCAAATGAGCAAACAAAAAACACACACACACAAAAAATACTTTGTTTAGATAAGGTAGTCTTGGGCTGGGTGTTTTGGGTTTTTTCCAAAAATATAGAAGGAGTCTTTTGATCTAAAATAGTAAAATAATGTGGTGGTAAAGAGGATTTGTCTGATAAAGTGTCTTGCACAGAATTATACTAATTTGTTTTCTTTTTCCACGGGCCTTAACTTCTTTTCTGACGTTTTTGTTCAGTGTTAAATCACTTAGTAAAATTTTTTGTTCCATTTCATTACCTTAGTGTTACTAAATATTTGAAAGTCATTCTTCAAAACATAAATAATAAAATGCTTCCACTGCAAGAGCAGAATTTCATTAAATTGAATGATTAGTATATTTCAATTAATCTTTGATTCTGTATTGTAAACCTCTAGCTCAAGGATTTCCCCCCCCCTTTTTCTTCTTTTTGGTCTGTGTTTTTCATCTTTCATGAGGCCAATCACTTTATGAAGTTTGGGTGTGGAGGGACATTGAAGGTCGAAGGGGAGCTTGATTTTAGAAGGCGATTTAAATGCTTTTTCTCATGAGTGTCTTCTCCTTGTCCAGTGTATGGCAGGCAGCTGTTATTAAAGATGAGTGTATTATTTCTGAGTACCAGTGTAAATTAATGTCAATGTAATGAAGAGCCTGCAGCATGAGGCAATTCTAATTGCTTTTGCATTATTTTGCAATCGCCAAGCTATCAAATATTTTCTTAGTTTTAAAAAGGTGACTAAAAACTAATGTGAAAATGTTTGTAATTGCAAATAAACAGCACCATCTCAAGTTTCAGTAGCTGCTTTCAGATTTATTTAGGCAAAACCTGACAGATTTAAGTTGTGAGCATCAGTATAAAACATTTGATGTGCCTTGTGATTCAGGCCTCCTGTTTGTTCTTCAGGAAAGTAGTTAGCTGTGAATCACTGTGAAGCCTGTAATAGTAAGCCTCCTTCTCACCACAAGTATGAGTTAATTAGCTAAGAGGCTGTTACTGTTGAAAGTAAAAGGGTATCTGCCAGCCTAGTGAGTATTGCATTTCTTTAGTAAGCAGGTCCGTAAGTTCAGTTTACCTTGGTTTGAATTAATTATTGCAAGACTGTAAAAATGGGGCTTATTTGTGTCATTACTGTTACCACAGTAGTAGCACATAAATAATCAGTTTGTTGAAAGGGGTTAATACATCTCTGGATATAAATCTATTAAACTACCTAAGGACAAGAAATCTATTTTCAGGAGTTTGTGAAAGTGAAGCACATGCTCCACTGCCTTCTTGAAAAAATGTGGTAATATGGACATACCTTTGTGCGGGTGTCACAGGAAAACCTGTTGTCCAGATATGCAGTGCTAACATTGGTATGCATATATTTGCACAAGAGAAAGAGAAAATGGAGGTGAAATTTGCCTTCTGCCATTTTATTTCTCTAGGGCAAGGTAGTGTACTTTTAGGGAGGTTATTTTCTGAAGATTAAGTAAGAGAGCGTTAGGAAACTTGAGTCTAATTCTTTAGATTCTAATTCTAGAATTCTAATTTGTTAGATTGGAAACAGATGGAATAGTAATGTTTAAGATTATTCTCTCACCATTTGCAACCGTGTTGCTTCAAAAATAGTAACATGCTTTTCACTGCTGTAAATGAGGGAAGCTCTGGGTTTTTTCCATTAAAAAAAAAAAAAAATCCTTTTGTAGTCTTCCTGATTCTTTTGGTGCAGTTTCTTTTCAGTTTTGAAGTAACTGTGCTAAACTTGAATTTATTTTTTTTCTTGTTCTTAAAAAATAGTAAAGGAGAAAATGAATCTAAGCAGGGACTAATTTAGAGCACCTAGTAGTCTATGAGCCCTGGCATTAAGCACGCAGATTCCTGCTTGACTTGGAGTCTCTGTAAGTTCTTTTCTAACTGTTCTCCTGTCTCTGTTTGTTCCATGCTAAGCAGATGGCCCAGAAATTAGCCAAAAGCAGGAAGAAGGTGCAGTACAAACTCCATCAGCTTGATGTTATGCCTGTTCTTTTGTTTTCTGGGAGGGGTTTTGCTTTTATTTTGTGTTTTTATTTTCTGCATCCAGCAAGGTTCTTTTAGATTTATTTCTGAGCCACCATGCAAGTTAACATTTCTCAGAAATCAGTTGCCTGATTGGCTGTTTTTTGTTGCTTATCATTAGCCATTTCATGTTAGAAATAGAGTAAAGATTGGATTTATCAAATGGTTACAAACAGTACCCAAAATGCATACTGAAGAAGCAGGACTGACATGGCAAAGGTTTTAACTTGTAAAATGGTAGATTAAAATTCAGTCTTTTTTTCATTTTATTTTATTTTATGTGTTTATAAGAGTGCTTTGTTTGACAGATGTGTCAAATTGCTGGATGCAAAAAAAGAAAAAAGTTTGTGTTTACATACAGTAATATGTGGAGATTGACTCACACTAGTAGTGTATTTAATTTATGGAGTTTTTAAGTCTGTTTTAACAAATCTAATTTAAAAAAAAAAAGAATATTACAAGCGTTTGCTTCCAGTTAACAAAATATGACTTCTGAAGTGGGTTAGTGCTTAAATAGTATATTGTCTGACTGAGAAGGTCTTCCTACCAGAACTCCATTATGAATTGCGTAAACTGTACCCATCTGTGGTACAGGTTTTTCCACTGGTCTTGTTAGGTCATATAGAAATTCCTCAGGCAAGAGCTGCTGTGAGAAAACTCATTTTTCAGCTATGGCTGTGTGAAAAAACTCCTTTAAAGTGGGATTTATAGTTGGAGGAAATGGGAGAATCATTTTGATTATTACGAAATCTTTATATAGTTCATATTGCAGTCAGATATAATTTTACTGAGTGAGGAAAAATATCAGGGAAGCTTTTATGAGGTTAACATTTTTTTCAGCTAATACTGACTATCACATATATATAGTTTCCATATCTTTGTGTTTAGCTTTTGCAGTCTAATACTCTTATCTATCTGGCATTGCTGTTCTGGTGACTATGTCTTAGTGCACCCCTGTTTGTGAGCTAACATCCTTAATAATTAAGTTTCCTAATGTGTTTGTTTGACTCTAATCTATTTACTTGCAGGCTCCAGAAGGTGAATCTCAACCCATGACTGAAGTGGACCTCTTCATTTCTACACAGAGAATAAAAGTACTGAATGCAGACACACAGGTATATAGACAAAGACACCTTTGTCAGTATTGTGGTAGTAGGCTACTGAAACAGACGCTCACCTACCTGCCAAAATTTGTCATTCAGAAAGTGCTAGCTTTTGTATTTCCTTCCAGGATTTCCTAAGAAGAAATCCATGCTCAAGAACAGTTACTCTGGTGTGTCTGTGTAGAAATTATTAGAATTTGCAGGTTAGCTAATTGCAGTCAGCCCATTTTTCACAAGCCATGGTGCATTGAGTATTGATTGTGTCCAGAGTAAAATAAATATTTGGTTATGATAATATGAAGCTCATAGTCCTTTGTACGTACATGCCTAATGTATTCAGGTTCTGTTATTGTGGTCTTTATGTGTTTTTCTGTAAAAAACAAAACTTCCATTTGTAAAGTTTGCTCATTGATTTACTTCTGGGAAGTGAAGCTCTTGTTTCCTATCAGCATCTTCTTGTATGACAGGTGTTACAGACTTCACTTTAACAAGGGTCTTACATTGCTGTTTGCTTTCATAATACTGTGTGAGCAATAAGAACTTTGTTGAAATGGCTGCTCATGTTGTTTTTTGTATTCCTCAGGAAACCATGATGGATCATCCCCTGCGGACCATTTCTTACATTGCAGATATAGGAAATATAGTTGTTTTGATGGCTCGTAGGCGAATGCCGCGGTCTAACTCCCAGGATAATGTGGAAGCATCTCACCCTTCCCAAGACGGAAAGAGGCAGTACAAAATGATTTGCCATGTCTTTGAGTCTGAGGATGTAAGGAATCACTTTGTCTTGTAATTTTCTAGGGGTGGAAATGTAAGCCCACTTTGTTAGGCTTTAAGTTCATTGAAAGTGGTCCTGTTTGTTCTTTAACTGCAACCAAATATTTAATCTAAGCAGAGGAACTTCCCTTCTGTTCGCATGTTTGGACCTAACATTTTGCTCACAAAATTGGTGCTCATGGAAATGGTTCCCAGTTTTAAGTTCCTTTAAAATCTTCCAGTAACAATGAGAGGAGGCCCCAGTTGCATCATCTTACAAATATCAGCTCAGATTGTATATGTGAGAACATAAGTCTATCAGAGATGCTTATTTTCTTAGGGAAGGGTGAAGGCACCCATTACTTGCAAACAGTGGCTATATATAGTGCATACTTACACATATTCATAGCTTTTCCAGGAACTAATTATAATACTTGCATTCTAATTATGCATGTGCTTTCTTGCTGAAGTGGGGGTCTCTGGTGGTAGCAAAGAGTTTTCCTCACTGTGTTTACTGAATGGGCTCAGTGCTTGCACACGCTCACAGGTGCTAGTGCTGAGTTAGCAGTGGGTATGTCTTTTCTTTATTCTGTTCCAGTCTCTCTCCACCCTGGGTGCCACTATGTTATCTTGAAGGCTAGCATCCTTGATATTATTTACTGTCTCTTAGTTGTTATCAGTCCCATGATGTTCCTTTCCTCGTCAGCCAAACATTCCTTTCCCTCCATGTGTCAGCAAGTTAGAACAGTTTGCTGTATTTTACTATGTTAAAATCACACACACTATTGTTAGTTTAAACCTATGATTTAAGCCAACAGTGGTCTGACTATGGTTAGACTTTATGGATCTGTTTCCTAGGTTACTGTTAATACTTTGGCTAGCCAGAATCTATATTTCCATTTGGGGATCACTGATACTATGATTTGTCACTGACATCACTGCCAAACAATTTGTTTGGGTCAGCCGTATTTGTGTCAGATGTGATCCTCCCTCTGCTGCTGGATATTGGCCTGGAAAGTACATGCCTGTAGATCCAATAAAAGCATTGCTCAATGAGTGAAAATATCATGGGAAATTGTAGGAGGCTATATCAACTCTTTTTAGTCATGGTATAGTTTGCAAATATTTTGCAAAAATTAATCTCAAATACTCAAATGACTGAGTTAGAATGTAAACCCTGTAGCGCCTGTTAGCAGCAAGTAGATGGCTTCAAAGATCTTGTGCATTAAGTGGAGAGAGTCTGTTTGTGTTATAAAACTCATGTATTTATCATTGTCACTGTTTCTTCTTCTGGAACAGTTGGGTATTTAGAAGAATTTACCCAGTAACTGACATAAAAGCTGTAAGCCGTTGAACAGATGTTGACCAGAGTGTGTCTCTGCGTGGAAGAGGAGCACATCACCACATTTTCAACCTTATTTACAGATGGATCTTCAAAAGAGCTGAACCCTAGTGATATGTCCAAATGCTGGGTGTCTAAATGGGAGTTATTGTCTCCTGGGGAGAAGATACATCTGTATGAATTTAAAGTCTGCATTTCTTTCCTCACCTAGGTTACTGAGCTATAAATCTGTATTTTTCTCATTTTCTTGCTGTCTTATTCTCACTGTCAAAACTGTGTTTATCTGAGAAATGGTAAAATACTACTGATCTAGGTACCGGCCTTTTCAACCCTAGCAGTCATGCTGCTCTCATCAGCAGGTGCTCCAAGGGACTGTTTCAATACATATTGAGGCCAACTTCTATGCACTACGCAGTGCTTGCTGCATGTATCGCTTGTTATGCATAGCAGTACTGCTGCTTTCCTGTCCTGGCCATTAGCTGTCTCTTGCAAACTGATCACTGCCTCAAAGAGAAGCAGCCCTCTTATCATACTGTTTCCCCCACCTTGCATGACCCACAGCTTTTCCTGTGTCTGCCTTGTGCCCAATTTCTCTCCCATTGCTGCAGATCTAGAGCAGCTCACAATGGGAGCAGAGCGCTGTAGTGAGTGGTGCATTTGGTCGCTTTAGGTGCAGAGAAGGCTATTGGAACCTGCAGGTGCTCCGGGGTGCACACAAAGGACAGGCTGAGAGGGAAAGGGAGCTGGCAGAGTCATGGAAGCTGGAGGGAGGGAAACAAGAAATGTAGGTGAAAGGGGTTAAAGGAGGTAGCATGGTGAAGAAGATGTGTGTGACCATTTCCAGTCACTGCAAGGTCACCAGTTGCTGCCATGTTCCTTTTTCGTCTGAGGTAGGATCAATATGGATATGATAGTTTTAAAGGAGGGTAAGAAAAGGAGGGAATACCCTCAAATGTGGGTGTGTGTTTTCTAGCAGACATTCTAATTTTCGCTGCTGGCTTGTCAGAGAATGGCATTGCCTCTGCTAGAAGGGAGAGCCATCTGGGAGGTGTGTATGTGGTAAGAATTGTAGGTGTGAGCTACAGTGACTACAGTGAGTGTACATTTACATTTATACTAGCAGTTCTCACCTGTGAAAGGATGGCTTTATTTATATTTATCATTTGTAATTGTTTAGCAGACTGGATTCATGGCACGGGTGAATGTGTTGATATTTTGTGGGTAATTTAAATTAGTTTTTAACCCAAATATTTTTTTTAGCTGGATTGCAGTAACTTGCAGGTTCATTAAGTTGATGATGCATTTTAGAGTGTGATTGTAACATAGAAGATGTCAGTGGACAAGACCATCATAATGTTTCAGCTTTATGTTTCAACTTTTTCTTTACTCTGGGAACTTCTACAGGCACAGCTGATTGCACAGTCCATAGGTCAAGCATTTAGTGTGGCCTACCAGGAATTTCTGAGGGCAAACGGAATCAACCCAGAAGACCTGAGCCAGAAGGAATATAGTGACTTGCTCAATACCCAGGACATGTACAATGATGACCTGATCCACTTCTCCAAATCTGAAAATTGCAAAGATGTATGTCTCATTTTTCTTCTGTAACAGCATTAAGCTGCTCTGTACCAGTTGCAGATCCATGCTGGTAGAAATCAGAAAACCATTAGTACTTTGTATAAATGACATCAGTAGGTCTAGAACCCCAGATTTATCAGCAGTGAAATAGTTTACCTTCTGTTTGTATTCTTTTTACCAGACAATTTTCTGACATGTTTGAAAATTAATTTAAAACAGATTAACAGATTAAGAGATTACAGTTGTCATTGTTTAACCCCAGATGGCACTCAGTACCACACAGCTGCTCACTCCCCACACTCCCTCCCCACAGTGGGATGGGAAGGAGAATCAAAAAATAAAAGGTAAAACCTGTGGGTTGAGATAAGAACATTTTAATAATAAAAATAAATTATTATTATTATATAATTGAAATTAAAAGGGAGACAACAAAAAAGGAAAAATAAACCTCAAGAAAGACAAGTGATGCACAGTACAATTGCTCACTGACTGATACCCAGCCCATCCCTGAGCTGAGATCGGTCCCTTCCAGGTAACTCCCCCCAGTTTATATGCTGGGCATGACGTGCTGTGGTAATGGAGTACCCCTTTGGCTAGTTTGGATCAGGAATCCTGTCTTTGCTTCCATTTCTTGTTCCCCTCCTCAGTTGCAGAGTATGAGACTGGAAAGTCCCTGATAAGAGTAAGCACTACTGAGCAACAACTAAAACATTGGTGTGTTAGCAGCATTGTTCTCAGACTAAAGCCAGAGCACACCACTGCACCAGCTACTAGAAAGAAAATTAACTCCCAGCTGAAACCAGGACAACAGTAAACCGTAAAAAATTTATAGAGGTGCAGGCATTTGTGAAAGTGGCCAATTCCAGATTTTTAAGTATTGTGTTTGCTGAAAAGATTTGTATCTTGGGTAACCAAGTAAGTAAGCAAGTAAGATGAGCCAGTCTGCCTATACACAGGTAGTGGTTTTCCAATCCACAGTCATAAATTCTTGCAATCTCTTCCTATTACCTTTGTCCGCTGAAGCCCAGGGCATCTGGATGTCTTCCACTCCAATTTCTTCTGTTCATATGTTGCAAGGAGTGTTTCACACTGAGCAAAATCTGTATTACATAGTGGTGATTATCTTACGTTTTGAATACAAATGAAATGTTGTAAAATGTGTACCCTAGTTTGTTTCACCTTTGAATTAGGAAAGCAGCTTGCAAATAAAGAGCAGTATATTTCTTGGTTATATGAATATTTGTAGGGAAGTGGTGTTACTTCTGTAAATATGAAAACATTTCTTGAAACACTTTTTCTTGTGATATAGGTTTACATTGAAAAGCAAAAAGGAGAAATCCTGGGTGTGGTAATTGTGGAGTCTGGCTGGGGATCCATTTTGCCTACAGTTATCATAGCCAACATGATGCATGGAGGACCAGCAGAGAAGTCTGGGAAGCTGAACATAGGGGACCAGATCATGTCAATCAATGGGACCAGTTTGGTTGGTTTACCACTCTCAACATGTCAGAGCATTATAAAGGTAAGGAGAATGTTCTGGAGGGTACGCATTTTGAAAGGGTTGCATATTAACCCCATTAGGAGAGCAAAAAGTACAGTATTTGTAAGTAAATTCTTAACAACTGTTTGTATAGCATTTTCCATTTCATGGTCTTTAAACTACAGTGGTAATTATGCTACAGCAGTCTTCTAATTCCCAGAAAGTGAGCCGTATCATTTACTTGTATAGAAAAGGACTCTGTACAGAACTTCACAAGAGGACATTTTGTTCAGAAGGAAGATATTAAAATATACATGCTTAAAATTTTATGTGACAAATGGAGGCACAGGTCCCTGATATTGTCCTAGGCCATATCAGCTGCTTAAATGCCTCCTAGTATCTGGCCAAAATAGAGCTGATACCTTTTGCTTGTTTTTAACTATTTTAAAAACTTTTAAAATTTGAATCAAATAAGTACTTATTCGTCTCTAGAAACTTTGCCTGATATATTTAGAAGTCTGATGCTTCTCTTTACTTGGCTAAATGGGATATTTTAATTAAAAGAGTTTTCTTGTTGTCAGAAAAGTGTGTAACTGCAAAAAAGCATGTCTGGGGTAGCTGTAGCGTACAAAGGAATAGGTATTTCAGCATCAGAGTTTCAAGAGGTGAAAAGATGTGCTACCAGGGAATGTTTAAAATTTTGTTATTCATCAAAATATCCCCACAGAGCTCTTGCAGATCAAAACATGTCCTGTGGACAGGTGATGTAATGCTGCTAGTGTACTGTACAGAAATCCTTTTCTGATTTCTAGGAATATACCTGTTAAACTTAATTATTAGGCAACTTTTTGGTAACAATTTGTACTATGTAATACGTTTTTTTCATTTTGTACTTGGTAAAATTGCCAAATATTTTTCATTTACAAAGTAAAAAAAAAAAAAAATTCTTTCTAAAACCAGGATGAATTAAGCTTCTCTGATTCAGAGCCTTGTCAGAAGGATTTTCACTGTGCTCGTCTGTACTTTCTCAAAACAGAAACAACCCAACAACCCACTTTGCTGTTTCCAGCTTCTGCAGACCTTTCTCTTCCTCACTGATACTGCACTGCTGTTGCTATAGGAACTCTTACCACTTACATTGTCTTTCTAAGGAAAAGATAGTCTATATGTTTTAAGGTCTTCATAACCATGCATCTGCAGCTGTTCCTATAGTGCCTTTGGTAACAAGTATATATGCCCACTGAATGATCTCAGCATACATTTAAATATGGCAAAAATATATTAAGATTTCAGATTTCTTTAGCATGCAGTAAGAATCCTATGAAAAGATGAGAGTATTATGTAGATAAGAAGAGTATCTTGCAAGCACTTCAAATGAGATAAATTCAGTATTATGGATGTAATCTCTGCTACTAATTGGCCATAAACCAGTTGCAGACTGACAGAGCTTGGAAGAAGCTTTCCGTATGTGGTGGTTATTCCGTAATTGTATTACACTACTTGTATATTTTTCAGAAGCATCTGGTGCTGGCTACAATCACAAACAGACTCAGGGACTAGATAAGCAAATAAAGTCGCTCAAATGGTTTCTGATCAGCAGAATTATTACAGTATGCATAGCATAGCATACAGTATGCGTATCATATTATTCTGCATATCAGCAGAAACATATTACCAGTATGCATAATATTGGAAATTAATATTTTTTAAATGCATGAACTTTCTGTAAAGTAACGAAATCTTTTGTCAGGGGTCATACTACTTTTTTTCAAGGAATACATATAAATAACTTGCACATTCATTAGGGAAGAGTGCAGCATTATCAGCTTTGTTGAGGGCATGTAACCTGAGTGAACTCAGGTGACTGAAATTAGACACCTAAATTCCTCATTGAAATGGACATCTCTATGCTGCATGACTCCTAGCATGCTGGATTTAGAAGCCTGAGGCAAAAGCCCCTAGACTTTTTAAGAAACATGGTACCCACATCTTAGTACAGATTGATTAGTCCCTGTCTTCTACAGTGTGTGTTGTGGAGACCTGCATCTAGAAGATGAGTGACCCTTGATCATGTGGAGTGTGCTGCTAACTCCCCACCAGAGTGGGGAAGTCCATAGTCATGAAGAGACAGATTTCAGACCTTCTCTCTCCTGAGACTGGAGAAGAGGCAGTTCCCACAGCCATGTACTTTGTCATTTTGTGGTCGTACAACCATTCTCTTGGAGCCACTTTCAATAATGAGCCACGCTGAGCTCAGGAAGGTGTGGAAGTGAGGGCAGCTGTTTCCAATGTGATAACTGCCTCCAGTTTAAGGCACTGACCAGAAAAACAGACTCTAAGGCAGTTCACCCTGGTAGGGTACCAGTCTAGTTATTCAAATCACTGCTGAATCTGGAGTTTAGATCAACAGAATCAGCAGCAGTAAACTGGATGTAGAGACTTCAGTGTGTTACCTTAGCTATAATAGGAACTACTTTTCAGAATTAAACTTCTGAAGTCAGTGTCAGACACCATTGCAGTGGGACGCGGATTTCAATTGTACCTATAAAAGGAATAAAAGGAATTCAGAAGTAGGTAATGGAATTGGTGGGTGTTAAGTAATGTGGAAGTTGCTGTATTCTCTATAAAGCATTTCTTTCTTGATGTGGATTTTATTTATGCATCTATTTATGGCTAATCTTTTATTTGAATTAAGCATTTCAGAAAAATATCTTAACAATTTCCAAGAGCTCTGAATACTCGAAGTTGTAAATTTATCCGCATTTTTAATTTGAGTTTTCATGGAGACATACAATCATAGTCTCTGAAGCTAGCAGTCACCACTGAAGCTGCTCTAGACCAACACTTTGGTTCAAAGTAGAGAAGGTTGCTTAGGGTTATACGCACTAGGGTTTAAATAATTCCAAGGATGGCTACTCCACACCCTCTCTGGGCAATTAGTTCCAGTGTTTTACCACCATGGCAGCAAAAACAAATTTTCCTCCTTCAACTTTCTATCTTTCTTTTCATAGAAAGGACTTCATGGTGAATTTGGTACAGCTCATTTAGAAGGCAGAAGGCACAGAAATAAGGACTACTGCTTATACAAGCATGATATGATCAGAACCTACCATATGCTTGACAGAATTTATTATATCCCATTATTTGGGATTTATTTGTAACTGTCTATGCTACTTATTTACCATTTTATTTCCCAGCCACAGTCCTTGTGGGGTTTGTGAGCTGCATTAGACCTGTTCAGTATTCTTTTCATACATGGTTTGTGTTATCAAATGAAGACATAGGTGACAGGAAACTAGTTTTCTTAAAAGACCTGTGTCAGCTTCTTGGCAAGAACAATTTGATAGTTTATCACGCATTTCACTTATTATTCTGATGCTTATGTCTGGCATTAGTAATCAGATTCAGTTAGAATGCATACAAAGACCTGTTTGTTCAGGGCTGTTCCCATGTCAAAGTTTTAATGCTTTGTCCCACCCCAGTGCTTATGTTAAATGTTTCACTCGATTTTTGCAAGCATTTTTCAAGGTGATTTCTTTTCACAGGGTTTGAAAAACCAGGCCCGGGTTAAACTGAACATAGTTAGGTGTCCTCCAGTAACCACAGTCTTGATCAGAAGACCAGATCTCAGATACCAGCTGGGCTTCAGTGTGCAGAATGGGATTGTAAGTAGCTTCCGCACTGTCTGGTTAAACTTAAATATACATAAAAATTCTTACCCATTTGTGGGTAAGTTCTAGCATTCCCATGCTAGAGCAGAGGGAAGCTGCTGTTCTCCCCGTTACAGTAAACAGGACTTTGCATATTTGTTAATCTAAGATATAAAAGCTAAGTTACTCAGGATTACTTTGTCATTGACTGTACTTACTTCACAACTTTGAAGCCAGAAACAAGAATGTGTAGCAGAGGCTGCTTTTAGTCTATGTAATTCATGTCTCTAACCAAGCCATTTTGTGATCTCAGAAGAGAAAGACTGTCCTTGCTCCTCTTTTGTTGTAAGACCTTTGTATCCTGAACATTGTTCAACTGTTGTCTTTCATATATTCTTATATTTCCAAACCACAGCATGTGATGTACAACACATAGCCTTTTCTGACAGTTTGTTCTGCTTTTGGAAGAGAATTAGTCATTTGTCAGAAGCAAATTTTACTTGAAATCAGTGATTGATTACATTTTAGAATTTGTGGCAAACCTCTGTGTTTAAATGCTGATTTGCACTTTACAGGCAAAAATGGGTAATCTAAAGCCTCTGTTCTTATCCAGACCCTGATAAATTTATTCTTTCCTTTCCAGATCTGTAGCCTTATGAGAGGAGGTATAGCAGAGCGAGGAGGTGTGCGTGTTGGCCATCGGATCATTGAAATCAATGGGCAGAGTGTTGTAGCAACACCCCATGAGAAAATTGTTCATATTCTCTCAAATGCTGTTGGTGAGGTAAGAGCAGGCAGTGTGTCTAGGCAATATAACATAGTTCATCACTGTTACCAGCAACAAACAGTGGAAGCCAGTAAGAAGCAGTACCCCTTAAGGGACCATTCTGGGACCAAGACTTTTTAACATCAGCAGTGACTTAGACAGTGGAATTGAGTGCACCTTCTGCAAATTTATGAGTGACACCAAGCTTGATGGTTCAGTTCATAAGCTTGAGGAAAGAGGTGTTATTGGAGGGACCTTGGCAGGCTTGAGGAGTGGGGCCATGTGAACTTCATGAAGTTCAGCAAGGCCAAGTGCAAGGTTCTGCACATGGGTATGGGGAGCCCCAGTATCAGTGCAGGGGGATGAAGTGATTGAGAGCAGCCCTGCAGAGGAGGACTGAGAGTACTGGTGGATGAAAACTTGTATACCTAGCCATGTGCACTTGCAGCCCAGAAATTCTGTCATGTCCTTGGCCACATCAAAAGAAGCGTGACCAGGAGGTCCAGAGAGGTGATCCTGCCCCTCTACTCCCCTCTCATCACAGACCCCACCTGGAGTACTGCATCCAGCTTCAGGGTCTCCAGAATAAGACTTGTTAGAGCAGGTCTAGAGGAGGGACACAAAAATGGTCAGAGGGATGGAGCACCTGTCCTACCAAGGAAGGCTGAGGAAGTTGAGGTTGTTCAGCCTGGACAAGAGAATGCTCCAGGGAGACCTTATCACAACCTTCCGGTACCTAAAGGGGGCCTACAGGAAAGACAGGGAGAGACATTTTACCAGGACCTGTTGTGACAGGACAGTGGTTTTAAACTGAAAGAGGATAGATGGGTGGTGGGACACTGGAAGAGATTGCCCAGAGAAGTTGTGGATGCCCCATCCCTGGAAGTGTTCAAGGCCAGGCTGAATGGGGCTTTGAGCAACTGGGTCTAGTGGAAGAAGCAGCAGGGCTTCGACTATATGATCTTAAAAGGTCCTTTCAACTGTTTCGTAACTGACTGTGCCTCTATTAGGCTGTTGCAATCCAGTTCTAAAAAGTGGAAGTGAGAGCAAGCCAGTATATTATTTCCTCTATTATTTAACCCTAGTTCTCATGTGTTTTGCAAGTTCACTAATCTGAAAATATGAAGTGTTCACAAAGAAGCAGCGAATGCTCTATCACTGGCAGTGTTCAAGGCCAGGCTGGAGAGAGGCTTGGGCAACATGATCTAGTGTGAGGTGTCCCTGCCCATGGCAGGGGTGTTGGAACTGGATGGTCTTAAGGTCCTTTCCAGCCCTTACTGTTCTATGATTCTATGATTGATACTAAGCATACTGTTTCATTAAATTGCCACCTGCAATACTTTAACGAAGGTACAAAAACTCTTACGTATTACTCTTTTCTTTCTGTCCTCCCTCATCAATGCTCTTGTTGATGTTAGGAACTTGGATTAACTTGCTGTGTTTCCTCTAGATTCATATGAAGACTATGCCAGCTGCCATGTACAGACTGTTGACTGCGCAGGAGCAACCAGTTTACATCTAAAGCCTACACCTCACCATCATAATGTGCATGGAGGATGTTTTTCCTCGTTAGTGCTTGTCTCTCTCGTGCTGCATTTCTGTGTCTGCAGAGACATTTCTCAATCTCTCTCTCTCTCCTTCACAGACACAAATACACTGTCTCTCCTCCCTCCCTTTTTCCTCTTCTTGATACCATTCAACTGAATTTGGGAAGGGGCAAAATGCATCTATGGGACTATTTTGGTTGAATCTTTTTATAAGTGAAACTTTAGTTCCACATGCAAAAACAGGAAAATAACAGCAGCATTGCTTACATCAGGATTCACAAAGAAGATTGATCCTGCTTCATGCTGCATTAGTCTTTTTTTTGTGGCTATGATTTTACAAACTGAGTAAATTAAACATTGCTTAATTAAATGTCTTTACCAAACAGATAAAAGTATAGGGTGAAAAGTGTTCTCTTGGATGTCTTATGTGTGGTTTTGCTTTTCTTGCCCTATTTTCCCACAGGCACCGAGTTCAATATTAAAAGTTTATGTCTGTACAAAAAGTACCAAAAAGATAGTTTCACTCTCAGAAAGAATTACCTGATTATGAGGACTCAATAGATGCTGCTATTGTAAAATGGACTTTCCAAATACACATCTTTAAATTCCTCTCTCTTTTCAGTTCTTCATGATAGTAGGACTCCAAAAGGTACTTTGAGAGTTGTTGAAACATGTTACACTTTTGTTTGCTTACACTGAGTCATTTGAGAGGCATATTTTACAGCTGCCTCCTTCTCTCTGCCCCTAGGTTTCTATCTTGTTTTCTTCTACTTTGTTTTTATATGCAACATGTCATATAGTCCCTTGCCTATTTTAGAGGTTAAAGGAGGGGGGGGAGGATCTTTAAATATCTACAAGAGAAATAATGAGGGGATTTCATGAAGAGCTACACTTTTTCTAGGCTCTTCATTCAGAATTTGGTGCACACAGCCATGTGTGCCAGTGTATATAGACCTTTTTAAACTTGTGCTTGCTATTTATGAAGTTTGAATATAAGAGATCTGCAGACTATTCTAAGTAATTTTGCTCTCTGAGCCAGTTTTAACATATATTTTTGTCCAAAGACCTGTCTAATTTTATTGACTTTTCTTTAGTTCACTAAATAGAGAACAGTGGCAGTGGATGAAGTGGGGATAAACTTATTTATTTTGTTATATAATTCAACTTGTGATTTTTTTTTTCCATATGTATAGCACTTAAAGGAGATATGTGTGTACTATATGCACTTGTATGAAGATGATAAATTGTAGGGATGTATTAACTCTAGGATTAGGATTTAATTGGCCTCTAACTTGCATGCTAGAGACAAAAGGGGGAAAAGGGGTTTGGTTGTTTTTCAAGGGTAGGAGGGAATGAGCAGTGGCTTGTCTTCCTAGTGAGAGAATAATTCTTCCTTCTCCATAGTTACTTTTTAGCCAGACTGTATACTGGTATTTATGCTGAAATTGAACCATGCATTTAGTCCAGGCTAATGTGATGATTTCTTTTAAAGAAACAGTTTGCTATATTGTGACGATATTAGAAAGGCTCAGTGAGATGAAAATAAGAGCAGGCCACACACAGCCACATACCACTTTTGCTTTGCAAATGTGAATTTGGATAATGGTCACTTTTTTTCTTAGTTATTGTGGGGTGGACTGTGCAATGTAAGTATTATTTGCAGTCCAGCAACAATACCTGGACATTACTATGGAGATTCATGGAAGTGAATGAGTGTGCTTTTACATGCATCTGCACACTTGGTGCAAACACTGCTAAGAGTCATTGAGCCCTCTTGCCAAAAGTCCATTTTTGGCTTTCAAAAATCATGGATATCCAGGGGCTGATCAGAGGTAGAGAATAAACTTTGTATTTCAGTGGTCAGTAATATTTAAAAAAAAAATAATGGAGCGATGCATAAGCTATTGTAGCAAGTGAACATGTTTTAGTGCTGAGATTAATGTACGATGACTTGATTTTACTTGCAGTTCTTGTTTTATGATTTAATCCAAATCTCCAGAATAGCAGATTGCACAAGAGAGCAGTGTTAGTATTCCAGGTTAGTACTTACCTCTGCTACACGACTGATGCAACTAGATAGTGAATGACTTCTGAGTATATTGTTTAAATGTAGACATCTGGTTTATGATCATTTGAACATTTTTCCCAAACTTTCCACCTATATAGTAATATATGTAAATATGATATATAACCATGTACAATTTAGAAGATTATATACAGTGCAGCCTTCCCATGAGTTGCCTGAGGACACTTAGTGAACTCTTGAAGACACAGTTATCATGCTTCTGGTTCCTGCTATGTTTACACCCTCTGCTTCACTTGTTTGTGTGGTTCTCTCCAGCTCATGTGGTGGGGTCTTTAACTCGCTTCACTGGGAAATTAGGAAGATCTGAATATGCAAACATATTTAGAGATTAAGCAACTGTTTCTTTGAAAACTTTTCTGCCAAGATTCTGTGAAGTTGCTGACACTTGAGTGCTTCCACAGTCCATGATAAATCGGTGCTTAACATTACGCAAGTGAATGCTTGCAGGATCAGAGTCTAGCAAAAAAAAAAATCTCAGTTTTTCCAATGACAGTGTGTGCATAAGATTTCTAAACTGTGAGGTCGTTAGTGCATGCACACTTCTGATAACAGTCTTGTGAACAATCCCATTTTACTTTGTAAAGGGAAAGAGTTTCAAGGAAAAGGAGCTTGAAAGGGAAAGCTGATAGTTCTCTAGACTGTTGCAGGAGCTTCTTAGATTACATGTGAATTTTTGACAGATTCAGTGGAGCAAACTGCTGGTTTACATTCCTTCTTCAGGGACAGACCTGAATTCTTTTTCGTCCTTGCCGCTTCATACACTCCAATTAATTCTTCAGTGTTTACATTAAGGATGAAACATCCCTTATATTTTTTATCGGCAAGTTTCACACATTTGTTTTGGGTCTTGCTTGAATTTGAGACTCGGTTGGGACTTCCAGGTTTGCTTGCTTTGCTTGTTTTCTAAATGAATTGTATTTCTGAAGACTGCAGTGTGGTTGAGATCTCTTGCACATATTTAGCGCAGTACCTAGGCAATGAAGTACTATTGTTCTGTAAAAGAGGGTGAATAGAAATTATTGTAAAGCATTGGGAGAAGCATAGTATTGTATTTGTATCAATATTGTTCTTTGTAAACATTTAATGATCTCTCTATATAAATATAAATATATATATAAATCTATGTGAGCCTGGAATGTTGATACTGCACATCTACTGAATGTAATTCCTCTGATGTTCTTTGCCACAGGTCCTTGACCTCTGTAATGAAGCTGCAGTGGTTTAGTTTGAGAGAGGGGAGGGTATGGGGGAGAGGAATGAGCTTTTTGTTTTGGGGGGGCAGGGTGGGGAGTTTCTGGCCAGCTATTTTGTTGTGATGTATTTACTGTGCTACATTCCTTTATTTAACTGAGCGCTAATGTCTGTAAGATTTGCAACAATAAAACACAAAAAAATACCTCAGACAAGGCTGAGAGTTTGCTCATACTGCTCTCGGGGTTGGCTTTCCAGTGCAGAATGCATGAGTGCTTGCAAGGTGTTTGAACATCCCTTTCACCACATATTCTGGAGTAATACTATGTGTTTCTGCAGGTGTGAACCAACACTATTAACTTTATTTTTAAAACAGCATTATTTTCAGGTAATAAGTTACAGTAGTGCTCCTAAATTAAGCTGAGTGCTTAGCTAAGCTTACATCCCAGTTTTTACCATATGACATGTCACCATGTTTGCATCTGCCAAAAGTACACTATTTTGAGATGCCTTTTATGTGACAGAAATATTATGTCATTGTCTGAATAATTTTAAATATGTGAGGTTTGGTTTTGGTTTTTGGGTGGTTGGGTTTTGGGTTTGGTTTTCTTTCATAAATGAGGCCCTGCTAAAAATTCTTTACACTGACTGTCAGTTCTGAGTCTGCTGCTTTTCATCAAAGGTCATCAGCGCGGTTTATTCTTAAAGAAAGACCTAATACCATTTGAATAAATAAAAAATAGAACTATAATATGTCTGTCCTTATAATGAATCCTGGAACTACCTGGGCTAAGGTTAAAAAGTATTTGTATAATGACAGTTCGATTATGAAAACCATGATGGTATTTGGAAGTCAAGCAGCAAAAGCAACAAAGTAGAACTTCTTCAGGTGCGGCTTCATAGGGTTTTCTGTGCTGCATAGGTTGTTAGGAGCACTTTGAAGATACAGAAATGAAAACAGACACAACTAATTGAGAAGAAAACTAAATGCGAGCCTTCAGCCACTGACTGTGCATAACATCAAATACAAATATTGCCAGCATGGGAGCATGAAGTATTTCACCTTATTTCCTTAAATAGTAGATTGGAGAAATTGTGAAGTCTCTGGTAAATGGTGCAGCAGACAGTCTGAGCTTCCTTTCTGTGTTCCCCTGCATGCCACTTTCCATCCTCCTGTTTATTACCAGTCTTGTTAAAACTTTATATTCCAGTTTCTATATTACAAACTTGTCCGCATTTCAGTGGACAAACCCGAGTCTGATTTCTCCTTTAGCAGTACAGATATAAATCTCACAGATTATCTGCCTTCACAGTGGAAATTTTCGTTGCCCTCACCTCCAGGGTTTTAATGGTTGGGATCCACACTGGGAGGACAAGCAGAACTAATCTGAGTCCCAAGAGCCTGTATTTCCTTGCAGGCCAGAGGGGTGGTGCTGGTAACAGAGCGGAGACTGGCAGCATCTGATAGCAGGGCTGGTATAGTGATTTAAATTAATGTTCAGTGTGGGAGTGTAATGATGGTAGCAATCCTGGCCTGCAGAACATCGTACCTGTCAGTTAATCAGAGTAAGCCCAGGCCTGAGCTGTGTTGCACTGTGCTGCTTGCCCAATGTGGGTTTCAGGGATATCTCTCAAACACAGCATAAATCCAGCTGGATAGTTGTTAAGAGCGGAGCAGGCAGCCCCACTTAGTACTGGTGGTGGGTGATACCATTTGTGTGTCCTTGCCTTTGTCTAGAAGTGCAACAGTGTGTTCCCACGTGAACATCCTTTCAGCACAGTAGAATGAAGCTGTTCTAAGAAAATCCTGTAATAGCTCAAATGACAAAAATGGGGTAACCCTTGCATGGATGTGGTCTACACAACGTTTTGTGCCCTGATACACCTGTTTTATGCTGCATAACCTGGGGTTCCCAGCCTCTGAAGGGATACAAAATCAGCTATACTATCCTCTTTCCTTATAACGTTGGCTCTAATAAAAAGTATTTTAAATGAGACTTTCGAGTCTGAGTGCATTTCTTACTGGAATGATAACAAACCAACACCTCCTAGTGCAAAACACATATGCTTTGGAGTTTTGGGTTTGGTTCTGTGAGTAAGGCAAGACTAATGTCCTACTATTAAGTGTGAAGGTCACTGAGCCAAAAGAGCATCTCTTTCAGACAGTTTAAATTTTAATTACAGTTTGCAAATTAACAACCTTCTTTCATAAAAGATAGTTTTAGAACTCTAAGCACCAGTTTTTACCGAGAACCTGCTTTACATCTAAAGGTCTGCATTTTATGACTGGAGTTTTTAATTTAAACCATAGTACTGATAATTTGCAAGGTTCTTCAGTACTACTTTTTTGACATCTGCTTCCTCTCAGTGTTGTATAATCATACCCCATACCTGCACAGTTTAACAAACTGCAGAGCCAGGAAAATAAGGCCAAATAAGGTGGCACATAAAATGCCCAGGTTGTGGATGCGCATCCTGGCAGATTTTCATGGCTTTCCAGCAAGGTGACAACCACTGAACATTGATTTCAGTGAAGTATGACTGTGGGTTGTCAGTTTTACATAATAGTCTTAATTCATTAGGGGCACTGTTAGATATTGATGCACTTGATATAAGAATAAAGTGTATATATATTTGGCAAATAAAATTATGTATAAAAGGACATTATCCATCAGTCCACATGCTGACTTTCGGAGTGGGGGCAGCAGCAGTTCTTAGGAAACCAGAGAATTTTTACAGCATGCTAATTGGGAAATGCTTCTCAGACAGTGCAAAAGAAGTAACTGCAGCACATATGGGAAGGGACCTGTGGTTCGTTTATAAAGAGCTTGACTGTTGCTGTAAATGTTAACTACTGTTTCTGTAAAAGTCCATAGAAGGACAGTTTTTTTCCTACTCCAGTACACTGGTTTTCAATACTCTTATTTCCCCTGCCACTGACCACCTGGCGTGACTGCTCTCCTGAAAGCCTCCCCTCCCTTGAAAGCTAGCGTCCATTTTAAATGTTTGTATTCCAGCTCAGCCAGGTAACATATATATGTTTTATGCTAATTCCTGTGCTTTCACAGCAGAATTTTCTGCCACTGGGTGATTTTACCAGTGAGCAAATTAAGGTGGGAGAAGAATGTGTCCCTGAATCCTAAGCAACTGGCTAATGGGCTTGTGCCTTCCCTACACCACCCTGTCACTTTTGATGCATGCATGTGTGTGTAGGGGAACAGGGGAAGGACGTAAGAATGACACTCAGGTACAATTTTTTTCCACTTCAAGTCCGTCTTTTATGCGTCTCCTTATGATAAGCATCCACTTATCCACTGATGCATCTCCCTATCATCTTCACCGTGTTGCAGTCTGCAAGTATGCTGCCTTTCTTCCCTGTTTCATCCTATACGAGTCTTCCATGGCTTTGAATTTCCTCACTGAGTGAGGAGACGTGTATGCTGCTCCTTCTCCAGAAAGGCATCTTCAGGCAAGACCAAGCAAGTTCAGGAGAGCTACTGTGGCAGCAGTGCGAAGAGTGAGAATATGACAGACAGCATGGAGTAGTATGCTCCCCTGGTTTAGGATGATGTGGTCTGGGACTAAGGACAGTGTCCCACTCACTAATAAATTCCCATTGCTCTAACTGGTGGCTTTTCTGCAGGGTGAGAGCTGCAGGAGGAGTGGTGGCGATTTGGAAGAGTGGTGTTGATGGAGACTTTTTCATTAGTTCTGAAAGCTGACTGGATGGGAAATGAGACCATGTCTGCAGTTGGGAAAAGGCATGAGAAGTACACATCATAATGTATGATAGCTCATAAAGCTGGTATTTGAAACTATATATATATATATAAATAAAAGTGGCTGATGGGAGACTGGTTCTGATAAAAGAGATTTGTATAAATCTCTTTTCCTAGACAGGTAAGAAGCACTTTAAGAAATGAAAATGATTCTTCTGTTGCCAAGGCTGCAATGTCACTGGAGCTCTGGTGATTGAAGTTAGCCACTACACCCCTTAAACACATTGCATACTTTAAACTTGTTGAAATAGCGTTGTGTGCTAAGTGTACATTATATTACCTCTTGTTGCCATTCTAATTATGACTAAGAAAAAGGAACTGGCTGTGGTACTGTATCTCTCAGTGCCTGAAGACAAAGACTCACTACATTGTTTGTGTATATGGGTGACTCAGTTATTTTTACTTGCCATGTGATTGTTGTAATATTGGTAGAGAAACTTGTAGCTTGGAAAACTACTCAGCCTGTGAGAGCATTGTTTTGAAGTACATTTGTTGCCAATCTAGGAAGTATTCCATTTCTTCTGGATTGGTGTGCCGCAGTCAAAGGGTTATAGGGTTGTGTGTAAATTCGTGGCAGTCAGGGTGTGGTATCAGGTGTAGTGGTTGAAGAGGCTGGGCCCTCGTGAGCAAAGCACAAATCTTTAATGGTATATAATCCTTGCTGTTAGGAAGGACCTGCTTGTCTAGTCCATAGCCAGCAAGACTGTCAAGTTACTGGTGCAGAGTAGATCACAGCCTGGCTACAGAAACTAGCCTGCTTGGTGTTCAGGCCAGTCTCCAAGAAACAGGGATTTCCAGTACTACTTGCACACTGATCCAGCTACAAAATCTGCAGGTGTGTTACAGGAGGTACATTGAGAACAGATAGGCCCCTACCCTGACATGAAGTGCCTCAGTGTGTGCTTTATAGAATCATAGAATAGTTTGTGTTGGAAGGGACCTTCAAAGGTCAAATAGTCCAACCGCTCTGCAATGAGCAGGAGAATCTTCCACTAGATCAGGTTGCCCAGAGCCACATCCATCCTCATCTTGAATGTCTCCAGGTATGGGGCATCCACCACCTCTCAGGGCAACCTATGCCAGTGTTTCACCACCCTCATTGTTAAGAATTTTTCCTCACATCCAGCTTGAATCTCCTCTCTTTTAGTTTAAAACCATCACCCCTCGTCCTATTGCAGCAGGTTCTGCTAAAAGGCCTCTCCCCATCTTTCTTACAGGCCCCTTTTAAGAACTGAAAGTCTGCAATAAGGTCTCCCTGCAGTCTTATCCAGGCTGAACAACCCCAACTGTCTCAACCTTTCCTTACAGGAGAGGTGCTCCAACCCTCTGGATCATTTTTGTGGCCCTTCTATGGATCCTTTCTAGCAAGTTCATATATTTCCTATACTGAGAACCACAGAGCTGGATGCAGTACTGCAAGTGAGGTCTCACAAGAGCACAGTAGAGGGGCAGGATCACTTCCTTTGGCCTGCTGGTCATGCTTTTTTTGATGCAGCCCAGGATACAGTTGGCTTTCTGGGCTGCAAGCACACACTGCTGGCTCATGTTCAATCTGTACCTCTAAGTCCTTCTCCTCAGGGGTACTTTCAATCCCTTCATTCCCCAACCAGTATTGGTATCGCAGGTTGCTGTGGCAGGGGCAGGATCCTGCACTTGGCCCCGTTGAAGTCTGACTGGTTACACATAGTGCACCCTAGGCATAGATCTGGCCATCACCTCCCTGAAGCAGTCCCATGGGCAGAGAACAGGTTTTCCAGAGAAGCCTGTGATAACAAAAAGGTATTATTCAGAAAAGTTGATGACTGGATATGTAACTGGTGGGGGGGGGGGGGGGGGGGGTGTATTTTTTTGTGTGGTAGAACAGCTGTTGTTGCCATATTGCTTCTCTTACTGTGAAAGGAGAGCCATAAAGCATGACTCGCTAAAAAGCAGGTCATGTTTTGTGCAGATCACTAAGGAAACAGCTTACTTGAGTATTAATATGATTGATAGGTTTTATAAATAATTGTGGCTCTAGTCCTGGAGTAATTATCTGATCAATTAGAAATTAAGAGCTATGGTAAGCAGATAGATAACTTATTTAAATGAAATTTTTTTCTTTCCTGTTATTGGAAACATGTACCTGCCTTTTGAAGCACTGTCCAATGGCTGATAACTTTAGCCCATGGTGAGTCCTGTTCCACTGGGAGAATGAGCAATTAACTGAACTGTAATCAAGTCTTCCAAAGCTTACGCTGCATCCTGACTTGGGGCCCTGGGACCTTCGCAGACTTTCCTCCCAGTAGGATGGCATGGAGTTTATATGTAGAGCGTGACAGCAACATAAGAGCTGTCAAGAGGTACTGGAAGTACAGTTTGCAAAGATGGGTGTGCATAATTTTCCTCTTCCACAACCTAGTTTTGGAAGGGCAATGATTAAGTGGGAAAAGGAAGCTAATGGAGAAGGTCTGGAAGAATTCCCACTTAAGATGATGCATGTTAACAAGAAGAGGTGGAATTTTAAATGTGATGGAAAATGTAACAGAGCTGAAATAAATTCTACCATAAGGAAGCAGTGTGTTCTTGTGATGTTTTCTTTCATCTCCAAGATAAAACCCCTCAATTTTTACTCACTGTGCTCTTACTTCTGAAAGCAAAATGTACCAATATGCCAGCACTTCAGGAAACACAATACCCCTAATGTGCTTCCTCTGCTAGACGGGCAATATAAAACATCAATTCCAGTACAAGGAAAAGCATTTTATTTTATTCAAGTGATCATCTTTAGCTAGTTGAGCCATACTGCACAGTTTCAACTTCAGAACAAGCTTAATTAAATTTTAAAGCTTTTAAAAACAGCAGGAACATTTAGCCATCCTGAAGGCTACAACTAGCCTTGCAAATAAAATTTGCGTGGCTGACCCCAGCTTCTGGAAATACTTAAGTACATTCCACATTAACAGCACACATATAGAACAGAGCTTAACAACCTATCTGCAGGCAACAGCTTGATCCAACTGGCATATCCATTTGTTTGAACGGCATAAACCAGATCAACTGTATGAACTATATAAACTGGACCTAGTATTTGTTAAGGAAAAGTCACACCTTGGTAGTTGACATCACAAGCAGAAACGAGAGTAAACCATCAGCTCTAGTGGATGCCATGGCAGAAAAAGTAAAGAAATATCAACATTTAAGAGCTCAGGAATTAAAAAATGCCATTACTATAAATTTCTGGGATTTCCCTTAGGAACATGAAGCATCAGGTCAATTATGAGCCACTAGCTGGACTAGGACTCACCTCCTGATAGGAAAAAGTCCTTGCTATTTATCAAATAGGGTGCTTTTTACACCAGTAGGTATGGTACATATATCTGTAAGTCAGCAGAGTCAGTTGTAAGATCTTAGTTTGTATAATGAATTATAAACATACTGGTGAAAGGTAATACTGTGATTGCTTGCCCACCACAAGCCAGAGGGCTCTGGTAGTATATAGGGACCACAATGAAAACACCACCAATTACTGGCCTTTGCTTAGGTGAACGCCTGTACATAACCCAAAAAAGGAACATGGATAATTTTATATATGTTTGATAAATAGCCAGAGGTGTGAACTCATGGGTCACTGGCCTAGTGGTTAAGATTGCCAAAATGTTAGAGTGTTACCTAACTGCTTCATATGTGCTTCCAGCATGGATGGCAGCTGGTACATAATAAGCACCTCTACTAGGAAGTAAATTGCTATATGCCAAGAAAAACAAAAGAGAAAAGAATTACAAAAATATAAGTGGAGATATGGAAACACACACCAGATGAACAGAGGCACCAACACCGACCCTGCTCTCCAATGAGATACAAAGTGCGTTAACTGACCTTGCCTCACCTCAGTAAACCAAGGCATAGGGCTGTTCTGCCATCTCTCTTGTAACCTGAGGTAAAAAAAGCAAATCCATCCTAACTACTGACAGACTAGAGAGGTGCGACAGAGCAGTACTGTACTACAAAAAGACTAGTTGCACCTGAGAGGCCAATACAGGCCTGATTACAATCTGTTTAACAGGCTTTGTAGAACAAGCATCCCCTTAGAAGTCCGAGCGTGGGGGTGTAAAAAGAAAATGGATTATCAACACGCTCATCCACCCACCTAGTTTGAGAAGGGCAGAGATAATTTTCCCGTGTAGCACCTATGTCTGATAGACAGAAGCGCTCTACAGAGGAACAAACAGAAACCAGCTCAAAGTACAGTTTCCCTGACAACACCAATAACACTGGGAGGCTGTTCATGCTCTGCTTTCTGGATCCCCCTCATTGCTCAGTTCATCTTTATCTGTGGTGAAAGTACTCAGGTCACCACATCTCTCCAGGTGAAGCAGTCCAGGATGCTGTCCGGAAGATAACGCATGGACATTCAATGGCATGGCTTGATGGGCAGGTGACAACATCTTTAAAAGGGGAAAAGAAAAAAAAATCAGATCTGTTTTCGGGCTCTTGTTCCATTAAAACAGTTTCCTACCCAACTAGGAAGAAGCTGATTGATCGTTATTCTTTAAAAATAGCAGACAGCACTACCACCAAAGAAAGCTACGACTGAAACTGCTGTTTGTCAAGGAGGCATGCCAAGAGCGATCCCAACTGGGAAAAGAAGGGAGTGTTGCCTCTTTTTGTCTTCAAAGCTGCATGAGAATTATCTCACCCCAAACCATGGTGTGCCAGGTGTTGCTTAATAGGAACCCAAATGTTGCTTCCTGCTGAAGCCACTTGTCTGCAATAACCTTCAGGCCAGGTCTCTCAGATCCTCATTAGAACTTTTTTTTTTTTCCAAATGGTTCTTCTGTCAGATTTGATGAGGCTTTTGTTGCCTCTAGGCTGCAGGAGGAAATTCCACTTTATCTGCAGAGTCTAAACTACAGTCTTTAACGTGTTTTGTGCAAGAACCAAAACCAAAACCAGTTGTAACAGCAAATCAGTTGTACCTTGCATGAATCAACTCATCTATCCAAACGGTCTGTAAGCTACCAGAACATTCATTTGATGAGTTCTGTAGTGTCTGAAACTTCTGAATACTCATTCCATGAATGTAAGCACATATTTTCTACTTTCTGCTTTTCTCCCTTTAGTGCTAGAAGTTAATTGTATCCTAGGAGCCAACCATAAAAAGGTTGCTTCTAGGGGGTTGGCATAAACATTTCCTTGTCAACCTCTGTTTCTTCCAGTTTATAATAATAAATGCTTTATAGCACCTCTTCCCCATATACTGCCACACTCAGTATAAAACACTGTCACGTTATTTACAGCTCCTGATTCTACCACAGAAGACCATCTCCTTTAGCTTGTAAATACACAAGTATTCAGTCTTCTGAAAACGGTCCTGACTGTGTGATAGGGAGAGCAAAAGACATCATAGCTGCATAGCCTCACACACTTCCTAAATAAAAATAAAATACTAAAGGAAATTAACTGGGTTCAAAGACTCTGACACATAAAGCAGAGTGGCAAGTGTAACCCTGTACTCACAAATGAAGGCCAACAGGTTTCTACATCATTTGTTAACTACAAGTGATAAAACTACCTGCTCAAGGAACGTGGCACTGGTGATAGCTTCTGCCATATGTTTCTCATCTGATCTTAAAACAGACTTGATATTTTCCACCAACTTGTGTATGTCAGGGCTCATGCTGCAGGAGGACTGCTCTAGGATCCATGCCACAAGCTGTTTTGTGTCTGTGTAAGACTTGTAGTCTATCAAAGATCGGGGTCTTCCCCTCAAAGGTCTTTCTCTCAAACTGTTCCGCAAGGTGACAGCAGAGAGTGGTAGTTTTGCTGCAGTCTGCGTGGCAGCTTCACAGCTGGGCACTGCCTCTGAAGACAAAGACCAAACAAAGCAAACAATCCACCTGGTTCACAGTACTGTTATTCAGCAAGTACCCCCTGAGGTTTCAACCCTGGTTCAGCAGTGATGTAGTGCACATTGTAACCATGCAAAGCATTAAGAGTCCAGCATGGTCATGGCAGCATGCAAGGCTTGCTCTGTAGTGCGTTTACTCTAGAGAAAATGCCTGTAAAATAGAGTCATACATAGCTACGTTGAGCGTGTACCACATGCCAAAGGGTCTGGAGGGACAACTCTGGGAAAGAAATGTTTGCTAGTTGATGTACGTCAATTTATTTCTCTTTTGCTTCTCTTCTGAATAGACCTGAAATGAACCTGGAGTGTTAAGGCTGACACACAGTTATAAAAGCAGGGTAAGCAAAGCTTGAAGGCTTTTATGCTCTCTCCTAAGCTCTTTGTAACTTTCAGTTATTACCAGTAAAATGATTACTTACAACATATCTTACTTACAGTTTTTATATATATATATATATATAAGGTATATATATACACACAAGGTATATATATATACATATATATATTAAAATATATACTTACAAGATAATTGCTTGTCAAGATGGAATAAGCTAGTAATACTACAAAGTGGACATTTAATTGAGGGGAAAAACAGAAGAAAAACAAAACAAAAAACACCAACAAAATAACCCATAACCAAAAGACAGCACCCAAAAACTGAAAAAAAACCCCAACCAACAAAAAAAAAACCCAAAACAAAAAACCAACCAACAGATCATCAAAACTCCAAAACATTCAAAATTACATTGCAAGGACTAAACTAGGGCCAAGACAGAATCTGTTCCACTGTCTTTGTTCCAAATAAAAATCCAGTGCCTTTGGGCCAAAAATCATCATCATTTTGGTCCCATTAAAAAGAAAAAAAAAAAGTAAATAGACCCCCGTAGAGGTTGTTCAATGTTGGCTTTATGCCTAAATCAGCAATACCAGGCGGAGATGCAAAACTTCCCAGCAAGAAGAGCCCTAACTAACTTGAAGCAACTTTCTTTGATGCAAAACTTCCCAGCAAGAAGAGCCCTAACTAACTTGAAGCAACTTTCTTTGTTCTGTTGCAGCTGAGTTCCCTTTCTGCAGTAATCATGTATTTAACTCTAAGGTCCAGTGCTGAACAGCCCTAGCCTCAGTTACACTGAGCCTAAGGAACCCAAATACTTCCGACTGATGAAATCTCCCAACAGCAAAAGTGCTCTGCTCCACTTTCACAGCTGTGACACAGCTATGGCTCTGTGTCATGTAACTACTGCTTCAGCAGCAGATTCTGCAGAATGCTGTGGTGTAAGCCGATAGGAGGAAAGAGGAAAAGAAAGGCACATGATATATCAGAGACATAAAAGCACTCCACAAATTAGTGAGTGTAATCTGGATAAGTATGTGCCCAATATTTAACGTAAATGGTTGTCACTAATGTGTCTCCTCTCTGCTTACATTTTGTGAGCACTAATATGCAGCCACTATGGGGATTCCAATATCCTTTAATAAAAACTGCATGACTCTTGACTAGTGGATTTTTAAGACTCATCAGAATCAATGACTCTGCAGTCACACTAGCAGCTTTCCCATAGCAACTGAATTGGATGACTGACACAAAGGTAGCTGCAACAGACTTCATCAGCTTTCCACTGTGGTTTTTCTGTATTGAGGTTTTGGGGAGTTTTTGAATCTATGAGGAATGAGAAAAGGTGTGCAAATTTATAAACTGGTACCAAATACCCAAGCTAATTTTGCTTTAAATTGCTTACTCTGACAACTCCTGAAGGCTTTTAGATGCCAGTGTATGAATACACTGAGAAATCCTGTGCGCTCCCTCCCCCTCATCTTCCACCATGCATCCCACCTCCCCAGGCTAACAACACCTGCTACAGACCCTGTTCCTAGATGTGAAAGCCTGAAGAGGGACAAGACTAAGGTGCTGGTTGAAGAATATTTGGCATTTGCTGTAATGTAGGTACTCTTTCTGGAGACAGTAGCTGATTTCTGCACGTACAGGTTCAACGTGCTAGCCTTCTGACAAATGGTCTTTTACGCACTCATTACGTAAGCACTGATAGAGAAAATCGAGTCACCTTGGAGAAACCGACAGTACAACAAAGGATCACTGCTGGACCGTTTCATTAAAGGATTGAAGGCTCTTCCGCCGGCTCTCTCTGCGAGCGCCCAGCTTGCATTTGAAGGGGAACGGCTCTCTCTGCTGGAAGGCTCAGGAATTTCTTCTCCTGAGTAACCGGGAATTACAAAGATGAAGGAAAATCGTTTAGAATAAAGCAGATCTGTAAAAGCCATTATTAGAAATTACTACTGATTTTTTTTTATCTCCTCCATAAATGTGTAACGATTTGACACAAAAGTTTAAAGGCGCATGTATGTGCACATATACCCACGCTCGCCAATAACACTGGTCTAAAGCCTACTTAAACCCTGTAGAAACCTGTTCAGCCTTATATAGCTGCAGTAGCAAAAAAAAATGCAGCTTTGCCTAGTAATGACCTCATCTTAAACTAACTGATCAAAGGGAGCTATAGCTTTCTTTGACAGAAAACCAAATCCCACGGAGCCCGAATCCTCCTGCAGATCATACCAAGATCTGGCACCATATAGTCAGAGGTCAGTTACCATTTGTAATTAGGTAGCTCAAAGATCAGTCACCAGTCCCTAGAAGGGAGTCAAAGACCCTTTTCATGAGATTCTTTATCAAAAGTTTTTCCTGAATTCCTGTGATACGTTTCATTTTTCAGGGTATGGTTATGTGCTGCCAATTCCTACAGCTGCCTTTTAGTGAAAAAGAACAAGACGAAGGTATGTGCTTCTCAACAAGCCTGCTTCTTTACCTTCATCTGACAGCACCTGGCATATTATAGAAAACAACATTCTTACTCATGCAAGACCAAAAAAACAAATTAATATACACAGCCTTCAGAACATGGCAAATGTTTGTGCTTCAACTGTAATGGAAATGTGTCAAAGTATTCAAGAAAATTAAGGCTTGGATGACATGTACTTGTTGAGCATAGCACCTTATCTCCTACTCATATGCAACTTAGAATCTTTAAAGAGAACAGTGACAGAGCCTATACAAAGCAGATACCAGCCTGGAAAGTCAGGTGGTAGGACCCAGCAACCAAGCATGGCAAACCAAAAATCAGTCAGGATTAAAGAATTCATCATCAGTATAAAATTCTAACAGCAGTGGAGCTGTGCCAGCAGTCAGTCTTTGAGGTACAGTGCTGCTGGTACTCTGGAGAAGCTGGAGTTTCTTAACTATTAAACAGATGAAGTAATCAATTTCATGATCTTCTGATAAGTGTTTCAGATGTCAAAGAGATAACTGACTTAAGCTGCTTTGTACTGCAAGTGTGCATACCTAGTATGTGATGATACAGAGCAGCTGCCAATCATAACAAGCTGTCAGTAGAACACTGCGTGTCTTCCTACTACAGTCAGCAGGGAAAGTCTGATTTTGCTTTACAGGAGTGCTTTTTAAGTCAGTAAAACCATTTTAGCTGGCACAAAGAAGCTTACATGTCCTGCAGCCAGCAGGCAGGACTCCCCGAGTTCTGCTGGCAGACAGTAGTGCATAGCTTCAACTTCCGTCGGGAGCTATACTTAGTCCTGATGATGCCAAGAGGATCATGGCATCATACACAAGTGCCCTGGCACGACAGACTATCAGCATAAACTGAAAGTTCAGCTTGTATTTATAGACTCTTACTCTACATCAGCTGAGACAGCCCATAGAGTTACCCTGACACAATTTCAACATGTCCCCTCATTTTGAATTTTCCTCCTGCTGTGGTCTAAACCCAGTAGGCTGCTAAGCCCCACACAGCTGCCCACTCACTCCCCCTCTGGTAAGAAGGGAGAAGAACTGGAAGGGCAAAAGTGGAAGAGCTAAAGAGTCTAGGGGAGTGTAGAGGGCAGACACCAAACCACCACCAACAAAACAAACCAAATTAAAACCAAGTGGTGCATAAGCAGCAGCCCACCATCAGCTGACTGATGTCCCTGAGCAATGGCAAACTGGAAAACTGCCAAGTGGCACGGGACATCCTTTTGCTCAATTGAGGTCTGCTGTCCCAGCTGTGTCCCATCCCAGCATCTTGCCCAGCCCCAGCCTACACACTGCAGGGGTGAGGGGGCAGAGTAAGAGATGGAGCAATCCTCAATGCCGTGCAAGTACTGCTTAGCAACAGCTAAAACACTGGTGTGTTGTGAACACCATTTTGGTCAGAAATCCAAACCAGTACCATATATGCTGCTATGAAGAAAATGAACTCCATCTCAGCAAGGCCCAGTATACCTCCCTAAATACGACTAAAGGATGAGATACTGCTCAGCATATTTCTTTTTCTTAAATTCATTGCTCTTAGGAAACCTTGGCTTCTAGAAGGGGCAATGTTAATATTCTTTATTAGCCTTTTAATTTGGAGGGGGAAAAAAAAGGAGAAAGAAAAAGAAAGAGCAGGAGAGGAGGGTATAATTTATCACATGTGCTCAGGTCTGCTTACTTGCAAAGGAAGTTTTTAAATACAAAGAATACCTCAGAGAATACCTCCGCACAAGTTTGGTGGTGGTGTTTGGTTTTGTGTTTTCACTTTTGGTTTGTGGGTTTGGGTTTGGATTTCGGTGTGTTTTTTTTCCTGCACCCCTTCACAACATCTTGCACTTTTTACAGTATTCTTTTCTTATTTTTCATTCTCATAACTTTAAGCAGTCACCATGCAGCCTTATGTTTGATATCCCATTTTTTTTTGTGCTCAAAGTACCCAGAGATAGCAACAGCAGTTTTATCAATGACTCTTGAGAATTAAACTTTTTGCTACAACTCTTGTGATTTTTTTCTGATATCACAACTGATGCGGTATTGGAAGCATCCAAGTGCTTGTTTTCAGAAATCTCCGTTAGACTGCCAGAGTGTAAGGCAACTTAGAAATACTTGTTATTTGTTTGAAATATTACTTAGTGTAAACTTTTTTCCTGCCGCCACTTGGCAGGGACACTTTCAGCTGATGAACTTCACACCAAGGTTTTCCTATATCTTGAGAAGTAAGTTGGCAGAAGAGAAGCCACAGTCAAATAAAAGATTTGTGGCTCCCCTGCCAGTCCAACTGTGTATACTCTGCATATGCTTGAGCTGTGAACATTGTGCAGATAGGCAGGCACATAGCCATCTGTTGCACAAAATATTCTCCCCCACAATGGCCAGTTCAAGTGAAAAGTGGAACAGTTTTTCACTGGAGCTGTACTGCAAAACTTGCCTGTGACTTACCTGGGAGCTGATAATGTTTAGCTGCAAGTGTACATCACAACAAAGATTAGGCTGAAAATAACTTGTAACCATTTCCATTCATTTTCTAAAACAATACTGAGCAAAGCTGGATGTGGTATCTACATGTAGTCTAGCTAATGTCCTGTTAGGATGCATGAACTATTTATGAATTCTTCTGGTTCAAGCTGCATAACAGAGTAATTCCTGCATTTAGCTCAATGCAGTCCAGCATTATTTTATCATTTTCCTGTTTTCATCAGCAACAAAATGTCAACAGACACCATCAGTACTTAAATTGAAGCACTGGAGCTGAACATTCTTTCTTACAGCACATGGACATATGAGTCAATGGCCATCTTGTAAATTATTAAAAAGGAAATATATATTTGTTTCTGTATCTTGAAAACAAACAACTTTTTACATATTTTAATCATTAATTGCTGTCCTACTGCACAAAACAATTATGATTCTGTATCTCTCTGGCCTGCAATATTGTAGCTGTCTTTCAAAGAAGTAATAATGCTGATGCTACATTAAGTCATCTGGGCTGGGTAGAACTGTCAAATACAAATTCTAAAATACAGTTTTTACCTTGAGAAGCCTCCCTGTCACTCACTTCCTCCGGATCACCATCAAATTCCATGACATGTATTTGGACTGCACTTTCCTGGAATAAAATAGAAAGGTTCAAAAATCGTAAGCCACCATCTTTTTTCTGGTACTTTCTAAGACCTGCAACATCCACTTTACAATAGTAAACACTCCTGCTTAACTGCACAGTGACTATGTCATACATGTTTAATCCCACTCCAAAACTAAGGTTAGTGAGAGTCTAAAATTAATGTACATCATCCAGGTCAGCCAATTCTATCCTGCTGAGTATTTTCTTTTCCTGTGAAAAAGCACCTCTTTTCTGAAACACCAGTGAAAAGGCACCAGTGAGCATAGCAAAACCCTCACCCAGTCCCACATGGGAGGGAAGTAAAGGAAGGAGGCAGCACAGGTATCCTCTAGAATAACCAGCAACAGATGTGCTCAATAGCACATTCTGCTCTTTTTCCAATGCGTGGACAGAGTTTTCTAACTGGGATACTTTTGCACTCTAAAGGTGGTTTATTAAAGTCTTCAGTGAAATTTACAGCAAGCCACATTTGCAACTACACATGTTCTCCTGCTATTCTGAAATTTAGTGATACCAGAGTTATGTTTACCAAACCTCAGTGCAACTTCACATCTGTAGTGGAAGTACAAGTTACACTTTAAACTCCTGTGGGCCATACCTGATCAGAGCTGTTCTCGCTCCGCACAGCTTCATAAGGAGGAGGTGGCTCCAGAGGACAGAACACTTCAATGCCCTTGATTCGTGCTCCATAAATATGGGGCAATGGAATCACATCAGAGCCAAGCATCCTGCAACAAACAACACCAAGCAACGCCTTCAGTATGGCCACAAAAAATTATCTGCTACCAAATTCCACTGGCTTTCCTGTGCCAGCTCATGTTTTGGGATTTTTCCAATGTTTTCACCAGAACTTCAAACATCTTTGGGCAGCACAGCGTCCAGGAAGCCATTTCAGTTTTACTTCCTAGAGATTCAGTTTTGTTTCAAGAGATTCAAATACAGGTGGTTACCTAAAATACAGCAACCTGCTCTAATTTTTGTGAGCTACCAAATTCTGAATTAAAACTGAAATTCAAGAGACTTCTAACCTCATGTTAAATGTTCAGATACAGCTGCATAGAATAAGGCAAACTCAAACTAAAGGCTATTTTTGTGATGATGCTCAGCTAAAGTTTGTATAAACTAAATGTACCTCATGGTTAACTTCACTTCTCAGTTTTCAAAGAGTTCTGTGAAACCTGTAATGCAGCAGAAATCTTGAAGACCTTTTGCTATATCATCTTGCTCTTAGGATGTAGCTCAGAGAAGGAAGAATTCAGAACAGCGCCTGGAGAAACTCTGGCAAATGCCATTTTTGATAACATAAGTTTACATTACACCGTTAACACTGGAACAAAGTGTGGTGGTTGACAGCAGAGTTACCAAGGGGACCTTCTCCATACATTCTTCAGAGAAGTCTGTGACCCAAAGCGTCTCAATTCTTCTCTGCTTTTTATTCCATTCTAAATTTCTGATTTGGTACTGAGAAGGAACCTCAAGCAACACAGAGAAGTCCACATTTTGCCCTCTGGACCTATGTCAGACTTGCAGCTATCTTTTGCAGCTAGTGAATGCAATCTCTCTGCAAAGAAATGTTACACAAGAGTGAGTCCTTCCTCCCGGAGTTTAGGGCTTCTCAGCACACTGATGGAAGGAAAAAAGATGACTACGAAAGTGAGTTTCTTACAAGGTGAAGGGAAAGGGCAAAGTGAATGGCTGCTTACAGAGAAAAAGAATAAAGCTTCCAAAAAACAAATGGGAGCACCTTTGTGAAAAGGTCCTGGCAAAATAATGGGGGGAATGTATAGAGAAATTTGAGGAAAAGAATATTTTCGTAACTAGTCATTAGGTTTTTCAATCTTAAAAATGGGGGAAATACAACATGCTACAATAGTTTTTAATCTCATTCTATTTCATCTGTTCCTTAAAGCTTCAGAATAATTTTGGAGTACGATGAACACTGATGTTCTGTTGGCACTACTTCTGCACATTTTTCTAGTACATTCATGCTGAGCTTACATTCTATGTAGGCCATAAAAATTATATACTTCTTAAACCTTAGTTTTGTTTTCAAACATGTCTAATCTGGCCTTCCCAGCTCAGTCACAACTTAAAAATTGATCTTGCATCCAAGAATTATATCATGTTGCAACTTATTATAGAACATGCAACTAGAAAAGCATTCCCTTAAGTCCCATAATATAAAAGTAATTTCCAGGATGTGCACATTTGTCAGTCTGTTCTTTACCTCTTCATTTCCATTCTCCCTTTTTATGTAAGAAAGTTGATTCTTGCATAAAGCCTGCAGCTATGTGAAGTGATGATACAGGAAGGTAGGGAAGAGTCTACAGTCCAGAGACCGGTCTATACCATGTGAAGGCTCTGTACCACTGCTAGTAAGCAGGACACTGAAGGGGGAAGGCACATCCTTAGTGACGTCTTGAGCACCTTCTGCGCTCATGCCTCAGCGGAACAGCAGTATCAGGGTTTTGTCCTCCCGAAAACTTTAGTGTTGCCATAGCAGGAATATGTTCAGTGGCTAAGAAACTGTCAGCAGAATATGGGTCCAATTTGAGACACGTACTGAATTTGGATAAAGAGATTTGCATTTTGGCAAATGCCTCTAGTCCCCAGATGGTACTTTACACTAGACAGGGGTAGATTTCTAGACTCCAGGTGACTGGTTTGCTCCCCAACATGGATTATCTCTTTCCTTAAACTCACATGCCCTATAACATTTTGTATTTTATTCTTCACATGGGAACTCAACTACAACTCCTAATGTTGTGCCAGTCCTGAAAAACAACTTTATTGCCACTTCCTTATTTATGAAATAATAAGATTAGAGGTAGAAGTTGACCAGACATTTGTAAAGCTGGTTTGTTTTGTCTACCACTAAATAAGACAAATACAGAAGTTTTCCCATGAACAAGCCAATTAACTGGCTTTGCAGCACCTCTGGCTCTGTGATTTAAAGGATGGAGAACAGCTACATGTTCCGGGTATGCTCTTGGCACATATTTTGATCACTGCAGTGTTCCCTTTCTCAAAGGGATGTATCTGGTTTAGAGTCACCTCAGGTGAAGACTGCAGATGGTGGTTCACTATCCTGGGTGCAGTTTCTTTCACTCTTCTTTCCCACAAATGCTTTGGACGTGGAGTCCATGGGACATCAGCATTGAAAGCCAGGTCACAAGTGCAGCACAGTGCTCAGGGTAGAGTCTGGGAGGGGAGGGAGAAGTGTGAGATGAGGTGGCTGACTGAGGGAAGGCCAGGTCCCATCCCATCCACTCTGTTGGATCCAGACTAGGGTGAGTCATATTTCCTCATCTGCCAAGAACGGAAATTGACTCTTGTCTGTTGCTTTCATTTCTGCGCTGCTGCGTAACTACCCTGAGCACCTTGAAACAAGTAGCCTGACTTCAGAAAGAAGTCACCATCACTTACATGTTATTATCAACAAGTTTTAGTTCAGTCATAAGCAAGGTAGCTATCCAGTATTAGACCACAGAAGCCTTAAATAACTGTTCAGCAACCCTTACTGTGCTGAAAATAGACAAAGAGAAATAGTGCTGCTGGGAAGGAAATAACCATCTAGAATGACATGCCAGATAAAGAATGACAGTCCCATTTTAAAGCAGGGAAACTGTGACAAACATATTTAAATAAAAACCTATCTTCAAAGGGATCAATTGTCATGGTTTAAGCCCAGCCAGTAACTCAGAACCACACAGCCGCTCACTTGCTCCCATCCCTTTCCTTCCCCACTCCTGGAGGGATGGAGAGGAGAATCGAAAGAATGTAACTCCCAGGGATTGAGATAAGAACAGTTTAGTAACTAAGGTATAACACAAATCACTGCTGCTGCCACCAATAATAATAGTGATAAGGGGAATAACAAGGGAAGAGAATACAGCCACTCACCACCCACTGACCAATACCCAGCCAGACCCGAGCAGCTATCTAGCCCTTCCGGGTAATTCCCCCCAGTTCATACACTGGACATGATGTGCTGTGGTACGGAGTACCTCTTTGGCTAGTTTGGATCAGGTATCCTGTCTCTGCTTCATCCCAGCTTCCCCTCCTCCCTGGCAGAGCATGAGGCTCAGAAAGTCCTTGGTCAGAGTAAACATTATCGAGCAACAGCTAAAAACATCGGTGTTTCCAGCGTTGTTCCCAGGCTGAAAATCAAAAACTGCACTGCACCAGCTACTAAGAAGGAGAAAAGTGACTGCTACTGCTGGACCCAGGATATCATTACACACAGACACACCATTCTGGTCAGAAAACTAGCTTCAACCAAGACTCACATTGGTGATTTTTAGTAATGTTTGGAAATCAACCCCAGTCTTTGGCGTTTTAGATGATTCAGAGGACTCCTGTGAAATGTGACTTTTTCTAGGTAATTCCAAGATCTGTAATTACCTCTACAAGGGCCACAGAGTCTTCAAAGTCATGCATGCCATTTCTGATGAAACTGAAATAAACAGTTTTGAATACTGCAAAAAGCAGGATTGTTAAAGAAGAGTAGAGCAGTACAGCCTGCTTCAGTATCATGATGTTCTATGTATAAACATTGTGTGCTCACAACAGAATAATGCATCTTCACTTTAGTCATAAGCTAATAAACAAAGCTAAACTGTTAAGTTACTGGAAAGAGTGTAAATCCACCTATAGAATGAACAATAACAAAACCCACAAGTCATCAGCAAACTGTAAGTAATACAGACACTAATAAGTCCCAGTACAGCAAAATAATGGAGTTGATGCCTAATGGACAAGCTACATGATTTTTAGCCCTATTGTTCTTCAAAACAAAACAAACAAACCCCCCACCAAATTTACATTTTGATTTTTTATCAGACTAGCTATACTGAAGAAGGCATCCTTCTGCAACATGAAGACTTTCTTACTCACAGGAGTATTCATACAGATATTATTTTAACCTCCTCCCAATACTTCTTGTCTTTGTAGTAATGAACTGGAAAAAAAAAAAAAAAAAAAAGGCAGGGGAGGGAGGTAGGGGACAAGTAGAGATTACCATGATTTGTGACTATTCTTTTCAATATGTGACGTCATCCCCCTTGTGCACTCTCACTCCTCCTCCATTCCACAGCTGCCACTGTGGAGGAGGCCTGCGGTAATACCAGGTACAAACCCTGCCTCACAGTTCAAAGCTGAGAACCAAGATAAGGATAGTGATTACCCATCCTGGCAGTACCATCAAAACACACCCTTCAATCAGCCTTAATTGCCAAAGAGTGAGAAGGAGAATCACTGTGGCAGAAAGGTCTGTGGGGGATCAGGCTTCCATTCAGAGGTGTCTCACATAAGCCTTGCCAAGAGTTTGCTCCTGGCTTTCTAGCACTGCATTGACAGCATCATAAAAGCTTTCAACCATGTCAGATCATGGTATTTCTCTTACCAAGAAATGGTTCCTACAGAATCTAAAGTGAAAACCACAAAATTCTGCCCTTCAACGATGCTGTATTTATACTGCTTCTCAAAAGGCTTTTCCTTCCCCCTGTCTAAAAGGTCACCAACCTTTTTCAGTAAATAACAGAGAAAATGGTCTTGAGAAAAATTAAAAAAAAAAAGAAAAAAGAAAATAAATCAGATTATGCAATATTCCCAAAGACACTAAAAGAAAGGAAGAGAGGCTTACCTGCAAGCCACTCTTGGAGTAAATGAATTAAAAGTTGAAAAATAGGAGGGAGGTGGCACAGGTGGGACAAAATCATCAAGATCCAAAGCGTGATCTTGGTCTTCAGCCTGAGATTCAGCCTAATCAAATGAAACTTCTGTTAAAAACCTTCTGAGACACAAAAACTTGCTGAACTGTGTAATTCAGTAATGCTGTTAGTACCGCTGTTCATAGCAGACAACACCTTGTCTGTACTTACTCTGCAGGATCTTGTTGCAAAATTCTGCAAGTAATGAAGGGCAGTCACTACCAAGCAAACTGTGACGGTGAAAGCATCCAGGGCACAAAGAGCAGAGAGAACTTTCTGAAGAACATGAAGATTATGGATATTAAAAGATCAAATCAAGATATTCGTAAAAGTACTAATTATAATAAGCCAAGACAAAAACACACAGAGAAAACACAAAGGTAATCATGACAATTACTTCTTAGGAACATATGTGACAAAGTCTTCAGGACAGGTAGTTTCCAAGGTGTGAGAAAATTGCAAAAGCTTGTTTTGTCCTATTGGGTATCCCAACGGAGAGACCAGAAGTGTTTACCGCTCAGATGCAATTTATTATCTTGATTTATTGATCAAGAATTACAACTTTCTTCTTAACCTTTCTGTGGGAAATCCAGTGGTGAGTTAATTGCCATTAAAGAACCATCAAACCACTTTTACTTTTAAGAGGATGCTGTTTTGAAGTTGTATTTTAACTGTGTGTAAGCCAAGAAAAGCTGAGACTATCAAAAGACCAGTGAAGGCATCAAATTCACACCATAATTACTCATGCAATCTTGTCTGAATTCCACTGTAGTTTCAGTTCCATAAAACACAGAAAGGACAAGAATTGTACATCGTATTAGCAATGCCCTGGTCAAAACACAGAGATGAGGAAAAAACCTGTTGCAGGTTAAAGAGATTCTGACTGGTGCGGAAGACCAGAAAAATAACAGAATTTCTCTTAGTAAACACTGCAGTAAGCTCAGCAAAGCACAGTTGTGAATGTGGGGATATTATCAAAGCAGTCATGTTAGGGTGTGTTGGGTACCTTGAGAAGAAGGTGAGAAGCACTGCATGACTTCAGGTGGTATAGCATCAGCACAGCCTCTTCTGTGCATTTAGTGAGATGAAATTCTTCACAGCAAAAGCAAATCTTTTTTTCACCCATATCCACCTTTGAAAACACGAAACTCTGTTTTTTAATTTGTAATATTTTATGCAACATTTTTACCTGTATGGTATAGAGCCCATGTGTTAAACTATATCTCTGACTGCAAAGCAGACTGGTAACACAAGCTTGTAGAACTTCCATATGCTGAGAATTTACACATAATAAAGCTATATTATGCAGACTTATTATTTGAATAGAAGCATTACTGATAAGCTCAAGATATTTAACTACAACTCAATCAAAGCTGCACTGCTTACTAAGCAATTTTAATATCCATGCTCCTTCAAACACACAGCAATTTGGAAATTATTTCTTTGACTGATGTCTAAGCCACTGTATAGGGAGTGATTCATGAGTATATTTTGCATCTCTGCAGATATAATGAAACCTACAACTATAATTTCAACCCAGGCAAATCATTAATAGTTTTATCTGTACACCACTATTATTTGTAACGTCCAAACGAATGTTGTCATCTTAGTTTTCAATCAGAAATTCAGTGTTTCTGTATCTAGGTATAATTGACTCAAACTGTCAAAACTGTCAAACTCGGGAGAGTCATAGTGTTAGAGATCTTCCACCTGCATAAACCACTGTACAGAATAGTATATGATTTCAGGAATGCCTTTCAGCTGTACCCTATACTTCCAGCATCAGAGGGCTCCAAAATTCCTGAAACATTTTAATCATCTTTTCTGGAGTAACAGTAACAGTTCTCAACTCTGCTTTCTTACAATGATACTGAGCAAATCAAGCTCTTGCAATCTTGGACCCTCACTGCAATACACCTACTGGCATGGTAAGGAATCAACAATAGCTTTCCTGAAGTAAAAAGTGAATGAAAACTAATATTCAAAAATCTTTCCATTAACCTTATAGTCCTTCAAGCCTTTACACACAATCATCTTTATCACCAATTAACCCTGTATCTTTCAATTTTAATTATTTCACAAATTCTGGTTCCTAGACATTCTTCTACTTCTTATGACACTCATACAAGGAAAACCTTTTGCATTCTGTCCTTTCTTTTGCAGATTGCTTCTTCTTCAAGTAGAAGTGTTATGAAAAGCTAGTGTGATTTGATCTACTTATTTTTTTCTTCACAGTTCTTGCTGTAAGGTATTAACACTAATTGACCTCACCAGATGAGGCAAACCAGGAAAAAAATATGTGCACAGAGATTATATTGACTGAGCTATTTGTAGGTAGCTCATCAGTACCCATTCATGGTTTTTTCAACAGTTTATCTTTTTTATGTTACAATAAAAATCCTTTATGCTTGTCTTAAATGACTATGATACTGAAGAAATAAATGTAAATCAGTATGGCTGCTCACCAAATCGCATCTGGGTACACTGGACACAAACCGAATGCCTTGATATCCTAAGATAAATCCAGACAGGCTCAGCAGAACACAAGCAAAAGACAGCGCAACAAATAGGTTATCCTGTAACAGCAAAACATAGTTAACAGCAGCGGAACAGGATCACAAACCCAGCTCAAGGAACCTCTGGCAGTGCAAATTCCACTCCCAAACTGAAGCTGGAAGCAACACTACTTTTCAAAACTGTGTGACTTCAGGGCCCCAGGGTGTCTCATCTTAACCCAGCAGATGATTACTGCAAACACCTTTGTCTTCTCTCTCTCCTTATTCTGCACTAATAAAAACAGTAAGTGCAATAATAAAATACATAGAATTATAGAATCAACTAGATAGGAAAAGACCTTTAAGATCATCAAGCCCAGTCATCACACATGCAACTATTGAAAAGCACCTAGATGTTCTTCTGGAGTGCGAAGTATGACTTGGAAGCCATCCAGCTTCCACTATGTCATATCCTTCCGATGAGTTTACCTCTCAACACATTCAGATCAGTAAGAAACATCCTAAGAGGACATTCATTATGCATAAGATTTCCAAAACTATTTAGCAGCACATATAAATGAAAAATATTTGTCCCAGTACAGTGAGGACAGAGACACTTAAAAGACCTTGGTTATGTGATTTTATTTTCCCCTGGCTACTAAAACCAGAATGCCTCCATTCATAAATTGGACAATACTTTCAGTTGTATAAGCTATCTGAAAGACTAGTACTGGCAGGAGTAATAGAGTACTTGAAAAAGGACAAGCAGAAGCAGTAGACAAAATGAAGTCCTGCTTTCGCATATTGCCTACAATCTCCAATCTGTGCTTGCATGAGACTTGGGGTATGGATTTTAAGCATATGTAAAAACTTCTCCTGCCCCATGTCATACATGCAAAATTCTATACTTCAGGAGAGAGTACTGTAAGACTACTATTTTAGAGACAAATAAAAATAGCAAATTCCTCTGCTGACATGTTTAAATTTTAAGCACCCAGTACCACAAAACAACCATAAGGTTTTTAATATCAAAAAATCCTAGTTAATAACAGTCTGCTCACTTAGCTGACTTTTTGTCAAAATGGCCTAAATTTAAAATGCAGGAGGTGACAAAAATCTGAGAAAGAAAAGAAACTCATAAGGGACACCAGCTCAGCTCTGCTCCAACTAGCTTTAACAGTGGATCCAGCAACAAGAACTTCCTAAACACGCACAAAGCCAGCAATTGCTTTCCAAATTAGCTGACGTATCATGGTTAACTACCTAGGAAGCTGGACCAAAAATAAATCAGAGCTGTTGCATGAATTATGATCCTGTTTACTCAGGTTCAGGGAAAAATAATCACCCCTGAGTGGACAAGAGCCAATGAGCATTACTGGGCAAGCTCATTCCTTAAATTACAACAACTCATTACTAGCAGGCTTTACAGAAGTTTGACCATAACATTACCACATAAGGTGGGGATTAATCTCAAAAAAATCCCAATAATTAAAGCTGCTATTAGTACTGCTCTGAAGAGGATAGGGACTATTTTGAATTTGATATACTGAGAACAATCAATAACAAGAGGAACAGTATTTTCTCCTGGCTTTATAAATGTAAAATGACAGACAAGAGGATTTTAATATTAGTAAGCACTTTGAGTGCCATTTGTTTTTCTGTACACAGAATTTGATCTTTTTTTTTTTATATTAACTCCTTGCTCAGTACTCAGATGAATCTGAGTAAAAAGCACATTTGAAAAGCACATTTCTTGTGCTTTAATCTAAACTATCTCAGTTACACTTTTCATTAAAATTACGCTGAGAAAAATAAAATTGATAGACAAGGATCATACAAGGAAAGCTTTTTGCCTGTGTTCAACACAGGCACTGTCAACTGGAAATTAGCCAGGTTTACAAGTGAAATAGAAACTGTTCCAACATAAAACATCTTTATAGAACAAATCATAAGAAATGATATTAAGGAAAACAAAGTACATTTGTCCTTTTTCCACTGATGAAGAAATGAAGGTCCTGAGCAAAGAAGTTACTTGGCCAGTATAATAAGCCAAGAAAAACTTAAAAAAAAAAAAAAAAACAAAACAACAACAAATCTACATATAAGTTTCTCCTTTGATACAGAAGCTGCAACAGAAACAATCCAGTGTACAAGTACATAAAAGTTCTTATAAAATCTTGACTCCTTATGTAATGGTCTACAAAATCTTGAATAAAAATAACAGATTTTTCTAAATAAACATGTTAAAATTAAAGAAAATTGAAAAAAAAAATGATTATTTTAAATATGCAAAAGAAGGATTGTAATTTCTACATTTATGTTCTAATAAATTCTACCATTTTACCAAAAAAGTAATCTTAATTTGGTTTTTATTATATGTATAGTCTATTTTTCACTGCATAACCGACTACTCAGACAATCCCATTAAAAAGGCAAAGCTAAAAATAATTCTTCTACATACAATCTAAAACACTACCATGACCTGAACCATAAAATATACACTATATATCCAACATTGGACAAGAGAATATATTATATTTTAGTGCCAAGAAAAAAAAAATCTGCTTTCTTTCTGGTCCATCTGATCAGTATTTTCACAGAATCATTGACGTTGGAAGGGACCTCCTGAGACCATCTAGTCCAGCTCCCTACTGAAACAGGGTCGTTTACAGCAGGCTGCAGAAAACCATTTCCAGTTGGTTTTGAGTGTCTCTACAGATGGTACTCCACAAACTGTCTGGGTCACCTACCCCAGTTTTTGCCTGTCTTCATAATAAAAAAGTTAGGGTTTTGTGTTCACATGGAATTTCCTATTTTTTCAGTTGTTTTTGCAGCTTCTTATCCTGTCACTGGGCACTACTGGAAAAGATCTACTCTCTTTTTTTTTTATTTCTTCTCAACAGCTGTTTACAGAGATGGAGAAGATTCCCCCTAAGCCTTCTCTTCTCCAGGCTGAACATCTCCAGCTCCGTCAGCCTCTCCTCAGATGAGAGATTCTCCAGACCTTTCATTATCTTGTTGGCCCTTCACTCGACTTGTTCCAGTGCATCCATGTCTCTCTTGTAGTGAGGAGCCCAGAGCTGGACACAGCACTCCTGGTGTGGCCTCATGGGTGCAGCAAGCAGGAGAAGGATCACCGCCCTCAGCCTGCTGGCAAGTCTTCTACTAGTACCGCCAAGGACACCATTAGCTTTCCCTGCCAGAATAGCACTTTGATGTCTCACAGAATCATACAAGCATTTAGGTTTGAAAAGATCTTTAAGATCATCAAGTCCAATCAACAACCTAGCACTGTGAAGTCCACCACTAAACCATGGTCAGCTTGTTGTCCACCAAGATCCACGTGTTCTTTCCTGCAGAGCTGCCTTCCAGCAAGTTGTTCTCAAGTGTGTACTGGGGTAATTTCCCTGCACTGGCAGGACTTCACATTTCCCCTTGCCAAGCTTCATGAGATTTCTTTCAGACCATTTATCCAGCCTATCCAGATCCCTCTGAAAGGCAACATTTGGCTGAGTTTTGTATCACTGTGTATTTGCTGAATCTGTGAATTTGCACTCTGTCCCATTGTACAGACATTAAGATATTAAGACATTAAGATATTAAGCAGTATAGGTTCCATTATTCACCCCTAGGGTACAAAACCCTCTACTGACCTCTGGCTAGGCTTTCTGCCACTGAACAAAGCCTTCAGAGCCCAGTTCAGTCAGTTTTCAATCCACCTCAATGTGTACTCATCTAACATGTACCCTGTTAGCTTATTTTACAAGCTATATTGCCCTGCAGATGCAAATTACACATCTTCTCCATCAGTACTCACCTACAAGTAAAACCAGGTGTTGCACTTTATCTCAGTGAAAGAAGATCCCACTCACAGGTAAACTAGGAGAGAAGTACTTCCTCAACTTATAATAAACAGGCAAAGACAAACATGCTATTTTAAAAGCCAAACAGAGGTAACTAGTCTAACTGCAGTGACAAAAATGGGAATTATGGCTATAGTTTGACTCACAGCCCTCATCTTCTGAGCATTAGATGCACATGAACTGTGAAGAGCTGCAGAAAGTCTTGAGGAAAATTTATATGAAATAAACTATAGGAAAGCAAAGTGAATTCTAATGTTAGATACAGTATTTATGTCTTGCATGGATGATCTCCATCCATGGATGATCTCCATCATACACTTTGAGAACTCTGCAGCAGCATAAACTTGCATATTAGGGTTCTGACCCTGTCACAAACAGTTTACCCATTCATTCTGCATAGGAAGACTGCTTGTTGTCCTGCTGCTGCTGTTGAAGCTGATATCTAATGCCAGAGAGGAACTGCTTTCTCTTTAATATGCATAAACAGAGGAGTGATGCCCAAGCTGTCACTTAAACAAATGAAAGAAGAAATATTTGCTTCATAATTATCAACTCATATCTGTTTACATCCTATGTGTATACTTGCCTTCTAGGAAAAGGCAAGTCAATGCATCAATTTTCCATATATACAGCATCAAGCAATACTTCAGCATTAATTATGGCACCTGGAATAGGTTGCCCAGGGAGGTTGTGAATGCTCCATCCCTGGCAGTGTTCAAGGCCAGGTTGGACAAGGCCTTGGGAGATATGGTTTAGAGTGAGGTGTTCCTGCCCATGGCAGGGGGGTTGGAACTTGATGATCTTAAGGTCCTGTCCAACCCTAACTGTTCTATGATTCTATTATTCTATTACCTTACTGATATTCTATCAGTTGTGAGTGCTATTTATTGTACCATATGAATACTTGCACTACAACTGTCAACAACAAAAAACCCCCCACAAAACTAAAACATAAACTATTTCATTTAATTAAAAAGTCACATACTTTTAAAGACTGCATTAAAACACACCATATGAATGAGACAGAAGCTTTTTCAGCATAAAAATCAATGATTAAAAAATCAGATGAGAACTGACTTTGACATGATTATATAAGTTAAAAGCCTCTCTAAAGGCTTTTCACAGTCTCACTCTTAAAAGCACATTTCTTTTTATTTACTTAGACTGACTTTAAAACCTTTGCATGAGCACCATTTGTTGACTTAATAGTGAAGTCCTGCATGTGAGCCAAGATGCTAAGATTGAGATATTTTACTTCTAAAAATCCAGACAAACAGGTGCTGCTACAGTAATTCTCACCAAAGCCGCATGACTTTGCTTATTATGATGCACATGGATAGGGAGAAATTTAATTTTGGTGGGTTTTTTTGCAGGGTTAGGGTCATGGTATGCAGCTTTAGTTCACAGTGCTTTATATTGCTACTATCAGGGTTAAGATTTAAGAATGTCACTTCACTAGCACCAGTATTTTGGCCTAAACATTAAATTTTAGTTAAATCAATGCAAATTATTCCCATATGAAGATAGGCTGAGAAAGTTGGGGCTGTTCAGCCTGGAGAAGAGAAGGCTGCGTGGAGACTTCATAGCAGCCTTCCAGTATCTGAAGGGGGCCTATAGGGATGCTGGGGAGGGACTGTTCATTAGGGACTGTAGTGATAGGACAAGGTTAAGGGGTTAAAACTTAAACACGGGAAATTTAGATTGGATATAAGGAGGAAATTCTTTTCTGTTAGGGTGGTGAGGCACTGGAATAGGTTGCCCAAGGAGGTTGTGAATGCTCCGTCCCTGGCAGTGTTCAAGGCCAGGTTGGACGAGGCCTTGGGTGATATGGTTTAGTGCGAGGTGTCCCTGCCCATGGCAGGGGGGTTGGAACTTGATGATCTTAAGGTCCTTTCCAACCCTAACTATTCTATGATTCTATGAAATTAGTTGAGGTGCAGATACCAAGAAGGCCATAGCTAGCCCTGAAAATCCTTATTTTTAAGCTGCTGGAACATATTTCTCTTCTGATGAAATTCTCCAATTAAATGAAAGGTATACTATAAATTTATTCTTCAAAAGTTTCCAAGGTTTTACATAAATACTGGAATTCCATAAACTTTTCTGCTTTCCAAAGAAGAGTTGTATTTTTTTGTCATAAGAGCTAAAATACTAACACTTTTTGAATTTTGCAGTTTTAGTTTTAGTTATGAATGTCATAGCTATAAGCCACAGCTGTATGAGTCTTACTGCTTGTGTATTTAGGAAACTTGCTTTTACAACTCATACAACTCCTTATAATTCCCAAGAGAAAATGTCCAAGTTACTAAAGGGCAGTTATATTAGAAATTTAGGCCAAAATGAACACACTTCAGAAGCTAACAACCTGTCCTTGATACACTGTAGCTAGTTTAATGCATGATTTATTTCATCTCATGAAATGCTTAATGCTAATTTCCTTTTTTGCACATATAATAGAGTATTTCAGTTGCAAGGGGCCTATAACAATTAGCTATTGGACAACTAGTCCAACTACCTGACCAATTCAGGGCTGACCAGAAGTTAAAGCATGTTGTTAAGGGCATTGTCCAAATGCCTCTTAAACACTGACAGAGTTGGGGCATCAACTGCCTCTCTAGGAAACCTGTTCCAGGGTTTGACCACACTCTTGGTAAATAAATATTTTACAGTGTCAAGTGCGATCTAATCTGGCTTCCAAAAAACCTAAAACACACATACAAACAAACAAACCAACAAACATATAAATAAATACAGCTTCATAGACTCATATAACCACAGAATAACTGTGGCTGCAAGAAAGCTCAGGAGGAAAACTCCAGAGTATCCTTCTGTTCAAAGCAAGGTCAGCTATGAGATCAAAGCAGAGCTGCTCAGGGCTTTAATCAATCTCATCTCAAGCTTGCCCATCTGCTGCAGGACATCACAAGGCAATTTGCTCCAGCACTCGAATGTCTTAAAGATCATTTGATATAAACGAAAGGATCAGGAAGAGTTTGGTGCTTTCATATTTAAGTAAAAGTAGGAAGGGCCCATAAATTTCGTACAAAGGAGAATGTGAAAATTTGAAAGAGCAACAACAGGCAAAAGGGAACTACATCAACAATATGCTGTAGAAACAGCACAGAACACAGGCAATATAGAAACAAGAAGCAGTGTGCAAGCCTCAGGCATTTTGAGACAGATGGCATTTACATTTATTTTCATGAAAATATGGTCCTTCCAGATTGGGAGCCACAGACACCAAGCTCTTCTTTCTATCCAAAGAATCAGTAAAAAAATTGCTTTGCTCTCCCTGGGCTAACTAATGCACCACTGAGAAACAGCAATTCATCCACAGCTCACACATCCGATCATTGGTACTCCTCACTGTTGACCATGTGGATCCTGAGGAAGTACTGCATAAAAATAAAACAACTGATTTGGGCTGATAAACATCTTCAGAAGTGACGGTATAGGGGAAAAAAATAAATCTGCTTCAAAACATTTTATTTTTCATCCCAACTCTGAGATACTGAGAGCCATGCAGCTTCTGATTTCACTTACAAGTGGGAACAGATTGCATCCTCCACACATCAGTTTACTTTTTTCAGAGTGAAGTAACATTAACTGTATTTGAAACAGTAACAAAACCAAAACCTGAATACTTCCTGTAAGATGGCAATGCTTAGGTTAGCTCTCAAACCTGGTGTGCGGCACTAATCCAATACAACTAAGCTAAGTTTTAAAACCAATTCCCCTCTTTAAGCTTAAGCAGCACTGCCTTAGAGAGCTACTTTATGCTAAACTAGTATTTTCTAATACCTACACAAGCACAAAAAAATGCTCTGTAAAGAGCATTAACACTTCTTCCAGATGTGATCCACTCTTGCCCTTAATGGGGACTCCATGATTGCAGGAAATAATATGGCCTTTCAGGGTTTTGACTCCTCTTTCAATAATTATGATTCAACATTTAAAAAAAAAAAAGACACAGCAGTATAGCCTGTCTTTTCAAGGAGAAACAAATGATTATTTTTATAATAATCTTGTCATGGTTTCCTTAAAACAAGTTCTAATCCATACTTACCAAATGCACCATCGGCCTCTTCCATGCTGTTAGGCCTAAGATCCCAGATAAGATTACCTACAAAATAAAAAAAAAAAAAAAAGTAGCATCATAAAGAAGTGAAAAACTGTTCACAAAATGCTGTTTACGTGGTATTTATCGCTGCTCTGGTGAGGTGTACTTTGGAACACTGCAACACTGGGAAGATGTGAAGATGTACTTGAAAGCAGAGAGAGCCTGTGCTGATGAGGTTCTTCATTCCTAAGAGCATCCTGTGAAATAACACAAATCTTATTTTTTTGTTTTCTTTCTGCTTTGTTGTTGTTCTTGTTTTTTGTTTTGTTTTGTTTTTTCCACTCCCAGAAAATGTCCATGGGGACAAGAAGGTATGCTGGCAACAGTGACCTCAACAATTGCCTAAAAAATTACTTTCAGCCAACTGAGTACTTATTTTCTGCAACCTGGCTAAGCAAATCTAAAAACTGGCTATTTCTTCTCCCTTGGTCACCACGAGGTGACTTCAGAGGCTGTTCCTGTCTCTTTGTGCTGACTCTGGCCCCCTCCTTACCATTTTGGTGAACTAACTTCCAGAGCAGGAACCCTACCAAAATTGACAGACAAGCACCAAAACCATCTCCCTGAACTAACTTGCTATTTAGTTAGATGAATGCCAGTATTAGCACAAGGAAGGAGAAGTAAAAGCACCCCCTTCTGCAGTAGTTGTTAGATCAAACCTGTCGAATCACAGAACAGTATCCTGGGCTGCATCAAAAGCAGCGTGACCAGCAGGTCAAAGGAGGTGATCCTGCCCCTCTACTCTGTTCTTGTGAGACCTCACCTGGAGTATTGTGTGCAGTTCTGGTGTCCTCAACATAAAAAGGACATGGAACTGTTGGAACAAGTCCAGAGGAGGGCCATGAGGATGATTAGTGGACTGGAGCACCTCCCGTATGAAGACAGGCTGAGAAAGTTGGGGCTGTTCAGCCTGGAGAAGAGAAGGCTGCATGGAGACCTCATAGCAGCCTTCCAGTATCTGAAGGGGGCCTATAGGGATGCTGGGGAGGGACTCTTCATTAAGGACTGTAGTGATAGGACAAGGGTAAGGGGTTAAAACTTAAACAGGGCAAGTTTAGATTGGATATAAGGAGGAAATTCTTTCCTGTTACGGTGCTGAGGCACTGGAATAGGTTGCCCAAGGAGGTTGTGAATGTTCCATCCCTGGCAGTGTTCAAGGCCAGGTTGGACGAGGCCTTGGGAGATACGGTTTAGTGTGAGGTGTCCTTGCCCATGGCAGGGGAGTTGGAACCTGATGATCCTTTCCAACCCTAACTATTCTATGATTCTATGACTCTCTTAGAGGGCAAAACAATTATGGAAGGACAAATAATTGGTGTAGAATTGAAGCAAACAGTGTACTGAAACACTCTCTCACAGTAAGGATGGTAACCCTTATAAAGAAAGGCAAATTAGTTTTTCAGCAGGTCCCACAAATAAGCAGGTACACTTTAAATCTGCTGGGCTTTGTGACTAGGGCAATCCATGCTAAATTCCCACCTAAAAAGAAATAAGAAGACTAGATAAAACAGTTAATTACCCATTAGAATTTTTGATAAGTTCCTTCTGTAACTTTGCTCACTTGCCATGATCAAACTAAGCTAGTGTAATGTGCATATATGACCTGGCCTAAACACCTACTGATATCATCAGTAGTGTTGCAAAACCACATACATAATTCTACAGTTTCATTACAAATTAATTTTGAATTTTTTGAGTGCAAAATAGTCGCATGCTTTTATAATAAAGCACATCAATACTGACGTGAATTGCTGTTTTGTCTCAAGGACAACACGACTTATTTCATTATATTTGTTAAAGCTTTAAGGTGTGAAAAGAAAGTATTTTCTGAGGTTAAAGTTTTCCTGTTCTGCACTTAACCAGCGCATCATAATCACCACGTTGCATCTGAGAAAAAAAAATATCCAAAACAAACAAAACCAGCACATCCTCAATTCCAGCTTGTAACTGCCTCTGTCTTTCCAGGCTGCTTCTGCACTAAAAGTTTCACTCACACGGTTACATCCAAAAGGCATTTTTGGTAACTTTTCCAAATGAGCATACTATTGTGTCAGAGCTAGCATTAAAAATGTAAACACCTCCTTCGTTATTAATGAAACCAGATACTTCTATTTTACACATGACATTTTAAAACATTTCAAAAGCACAAGCATGGTTCTTTGTGAAGGGTTCAAAGAAAATCCATACCTTACACACATTTGAACTTGTTTTAATCTAAGGTAAGAAGAAGAAGATGAAAAACCGTAGGAGACACACAAACACACACATTTGGACTATCTGCGTTCACCTCTCCTTCCCGGTCCCTGTCCCCTCTCCTCCTGCTGTGCAGGCTGTCTGTACTTTCAGGTATGAGAATCACATTATACACATGAATAGCAGATACCTGACCACTAATCACAGATCACTGAGCACTTTTGCACTGGTTGTGAACAAAACTAGAAACACAATTTAAAAATTCAAACTGAGGGACAGGCTGATGCTGCCCACACAAGCAGCAGGAGAGCATGTGAACCACAGAACGATTTGCTCATTGCTCAAGGGCCCTCAAACTGAGAACAAGCTATCCAATTATCTCTTACTCCTATTAACTTCTGCTTACTCCTGCTGGCTTTTGCAATTCAAACGACTATATATTCTGTTTTTACAAATGTGTGGTTTAAAGCTTGGCCCAACAGGAGATGGAATAACTTTTCTCACATCTCTTTACAAAACTGTTATAAGCCCACCCCTGCTGGTGGGTTTGGTTTTTTGGGGGTTTGGTTTTGTTTGGGTTTCGGGGTTGTTTTTTTTTTTGTTGGTTTTTTTTGTTTGTTTGTTTGTCTGTTTTCTTTTTCCAGGAACACCGCTATTTTAGCTCTCTTTCACTGGAGTAAGGGCATACAACGCACAAAAGCGATATGCAACCTCTACATACACCACAACTTTAGAAAACCCTGTTTCTGATTGCGTGTAATAATTGAGCTGTCTCTAGTTGTCCTGTTGGGATCATGCTCTCACGCGGGTAAAACTGTTAGCACAAGCGTAACTGCTCGTGATTTGCAAGTGGGTGAAAGCCTCGGAGGTCCCGCGCACTCCGAGCCCAACGCCGGCACGGCCCGCGCGGGTGTCCCAGCGCCGGGCGGCCGCCGGCATCGACTCGGACTCCGCGACGGCGACTTACCGAAGATCCAACCCAGAAGGGACAGGCATTCTTCACCTGCTGGGCGCTGCTCAGCGACTGGGCTACGAAGTTCAGCGCCACCACAGTGCAGCCCAGGACGACTTGCAGCAGCCCCAGCCATAGCAGCGGCCGCTGCTGCGGCAAGTTGACTCCCCCGGCCGAAGCGACGGAGCGGGCGGCCGGGCGCTGGCTGCGGTGTGGCGACAGGTTGGGGCGGCAGCCGCGGGAGCGGGAAGGCGGCACGGACAGGTCGGCCGCCGTGGCGGACAGCGAGGCCGTTGCCCTGCCGGTAGTGCCGGCTGCGGCCGTCTGGGGTAGCGGAGCGAGCCCCGGGACGGGGCAGCAGGAGCCCGGCACCACCACCGGCAGCGACATGGGGGTGGAGGCGGCTCCCTGCGGGCAGCCCCTACGGACGCTGGGCCAGGTCATGCTGGGCCGGGTCGTTCCGGACCGGGCGGGGCCCCGCCGCTGCCGCTCCTGTGGCAGCGCACCCGGGCGCAGGCTTCCTGTGGCGCTGCTCTCCCCTTGCCTGCCCACTCCAACAGTGGACGACGCCGCGCCTGCCCCGGCCTTAGCCTTCCCACCCCCCACCCCCCATCCCCGGCCGACGAAGCATCAAGCACCCTGCAGAGTGCCTCGCCTGACTGCCGACCCGACCTCCGCTGGCTGGCTGCCCGCCGCCGTACCCCAAACTCTGCCGGACGCAGACCCATCCCGCCAAGTCCCGGGTGTCGCTGCTGGTGCTACTGTATGGGCCCTTTTGCGCTTGTCTTGGAGGGCTTTCCCCTTCCCCTTGTTAACATGCTGCCTCCCACCCTCCTGCCTTGCCCTTTATTCCTTTGGTCACTGTTGTTACCGAGCAGTAAGCCTAATGTTTTAAAATAACTCTTCCTGGGAGGAGGGTGGTGGAAGCCGCTGGATTGCATTTCGCATTGTTGGCGCCTTTCCCAACGAGAGGAGGAGGTTTGGCAAACAAAACGGTGTGTGTGTGTCTATATGAGTGGTGCCTGCGAGCATACACGATGCCATGTTTTCTGAGCAAAGATACGGGCAAAGAAACCAGCATAGCTGAGTTTTTTTTCTTTTAGCTCCCCCCATATTTCCCTTTGGGAAAGCCTGCTGTGAACATGGCCTATCCATCTCTTCCACTTGTCACTCTCCAAGGAAGGAGGCTCAGGAATTTACTTTGGCCATGTGTGAAGCTGCAGCTCAGCCAAAGCAATTTTATACCTGTTGGGCTTGTCTGGACACAACTTAGAAAACAGAGAATCTCAGATGTAAGAACAGAACTTTTAGTACCATAGGAAAATAAGCCTCAGTGGTGAAGGTGGCATTGGCTCAGATGACAACACTCGCTCCTCTGCAGAGAAAGGTGTTGATCCCACACTATTGAAAGTATTTTGGTACGATGTTACAATAACGCATAAAGTCTCCTACAAAGAAAGTAAAAAAATCATCATTAGAGAGGCTGGTTTTGGAGTTACAGCCTTAGTGAATGTCTATGTTTTACCTGAAGATTCAGGATTTAAAGATCTCCTTATCACAAAAACAAAAACAAAGAAAAAAAGAAAAATAAAATAAAAAGAAAAGAAAAGAAATGGTCACCTGCCACCCTGGACCAGCATCTTGTAATCAGGTTCTTACAAATCAACCTTTACGCCAGGATTCATGGACCAGGGTTTAGAGCAATAGATTTTAACACCTAAGACTACATAGGAGGGCTGGCCAAGTGCTTCTATCCCTGCATATGACTTCCCCATCTTTAACCCATTCATTAACCAGTAAACTTGTAACTTTAACCATATATGTGAAACTGAAGACTGTTGTACACGTGCTAACTTAAATGACACTTTCTATGATTTTCCCTCTTATTCTGTTAGATGAGAATAGAATTGTGATGCTGTAAATGTGTTGAAAGCTCACTAGTACTGAGCAACTCTGTATCTATTTCAGGGCTTCAGAGTAGATGCCCCAGTCTTAGCTTACCAAATCCACAAAATGCAGCCAAAGATAAAAGGTGCTCCTTCAAAGGACAGATTTCAGCCATATCCAACTAGCAGGTTACTTGTAACAAATAAAACCAGGGTATTTACACTTGATCTAGTGAAGAGGATCTTGCAAATCTTCGCATTCATTTCAAATTTCTTCTGCAGACTCTTCTTCTTAACTTTCAAAAATACAAGCTGAAAAAAGCACATTGTGAAAAAAAAAAAATTCGGCAACAAGTTGTTATTTCATGCCTCAAAAATGCAAACCTACAATGTAGTAACTCACAAGCTCAAAGTTCTCTGTGTTTGGGATCTGCAAATTGCTTTCTCTGTAGCTTTTTACTGCCCTGTCTTAATCTGGGAAACAGAAGAAACATCTAGATATTTTTTCTTAACATGCTCTATCTCACTCCAAGTATCTGAAACTCCAAAGAATCATAGAATCATAGAATAGTTTGGGTCAGAAGGGATCTTTAAAAGTCATCTAGTCCAACCCACCTGCAAGGAACAGGGACATCTTCAACTAGATCTGCTTGCTCAAAGCCCCATCCAACCTGGCCTAAAACACTTCCAGAGATGGGACAGCCATAACTTCCCTGGGTAACCTGTGTCAGTGCCTCACCACCCTCAGTGCAAAAAATTCCTTTCTTATATGTCTTAACTCATTTAGTTTAAAATCACTACTCCTCATCCTATTGCTACCAGCCTTACTGAAAAGTTTGTCTCCATCTTTCATACAAGTCCCCTTTTAACTACTGAAAGGTTGCAATAAGGTCTCCCCAGAGCCTTCTCATCTCCAGGGGAGATAACCCCAAGAAAGACGTAACTGCAACTTTCTCAGTCTTTCCTCACTGAAGAAGTGTTCAATCACTGATAGTTTTTGTGCACCTTCTCTGGACCCTTTCCAAAAGGTCTGTGTTTTCCCTGTGCTGAGGACTCCAGATCTGGACACAGTACTCCAGGTGAGGTCTCACCACAGCAGACTAGAAGGAGAGAATCACATCCGCTGACCTGCTGTTCGTGCTTTTTTTCATGAAGCCGAGGATATGGTTGGCTTTCTGGGCTGCAAATGCACATTGCAAGCTCTTGTCCAGATTTTCATTCACCACTGCCCACAAGTCCTTCTCCACAGGGCTGCTTTCAGTCCCTTCATCCCCCATCAGTACTGATGTGGTGGTTGTCCAGACCCAGGTGCAGGACCTTCCATTTGGCCTTGTTGAACTTCTTGAAGTTCAGAGGGGCCCACTTCTTCACTTTGTCCACGTCCCTCTGAATGGCATCCCTTCTCTCAGGCATGTCAGCTTCACCACTCAGCTTGGTGTTGTCTGCAAAATCACTGAAGGTGCATTCAATCCCACTGTCTATGTCATTGATGGAGATATTAAACAGTACTGGTCCCAGTACAGACCTTTGAAGGACACCACTTGTCACTGGTCTTCATCCAGACACTGAGCCACTGCCCACTAACTCTCCAGATGCTACCATCCAATAAATTTCTTACCCACCAAGAAGTCCGTCCATCAAATCCATATCTCTCCAATTTAGAGAGATGGACTTGGGCTTGTTTCTGAATTGGGCAGGTGGTACAGAGGCAGCGGACACCCATAAGACAATAGTACTCATTGTCATCTTTGTCATAATCAGCAAAGTCTGCCAGCCACTGCACCTATTGATGGGGCTCAATGAGAGATAAGCTACCAATAGGGGATGAAGACTGGGACAGGGATGGATTTCAGATATTTGAACCATACAAGTGCCTGAGACAGGCTAGGTCCTAAAGGTGCTCAGGGAGGTGGCTGATGTCCTTACAAAGCCATTCTTCATTTTTGAGAGGCTGTGGATACTGGGGGAGGACCCCAATGACTGGTGGAAGGCAAATGTCCCACACATCTTCATAAAAAGGTGAAAACTAACTTAAGGAGCTATACATCAGTTAGCATCATAGAATCATAGAATAGTTAGGGTTGGAAAGGACCTTAAGATCATCAAGTTCCAGCCCCCCTGCCATGGGCAGGGACACCTCGCTCTAAACCATATCACCCAAGGTCTCGTCCAACCTGGCCTTGAACACTGCCAGGGATGGAGCATTCACAACCTCCCTGGGCAATCTATTCCAGTGCCTCACCACCCTAACAGAAAAGAATTTCCTCCTTATATCCAATCTAAACTTCCCCTGTTTAAGTTTCAACCCGTTACCCCTTGTCCTACCACTACAGTCCTCTTGTTACAATTCCTCTGTGACTCTTTACTGTGTGGGTCTTTTTCTTAGAACAGCAACTTTTTAAAAGTTGCCCATTAGATGCTGCAGAGCAAGATTAATTTGTCACACTCAGGTACTGACTGTGAGGAGGCAGAGCACTGGGCTTTCTGAGAATATCATCAGGTCAGGCACGTTCTTTGTCCGGGCACATAGAGAGTGCAATGACTAGAAACAGTCAATATGGGTTTATTCAAGGTAAATCATGACTGATCAATGTAATAATTTTCCACAGTAAAATGACTAGATTTATAGAGGAAAGAAGTGCAGTGGATGACATTTATCTTTACTTCAGCAAGGCTTCTAACACTGTCTCCCACAGTATTCTTATATTCAGTCTGAATGGGAGGATGACTAAATGGGCAGAAAGCTGGTAGAAAAAATAGTCTGTCTCAGAGGGTACCTGGAGACCTGTACTAAGAGCAGTTGTGCAGTGGTCTATCATCAACCTGTCTCATTTGACATCTCACAAGACTGGATGGAAGGTAGTCACATCAACTGACATAACAACAAACTAGGATCAACCAGTTGATATGGTGGAAGGCAGGGCTGCCATTCAGAGGTAAATGGAGAGGTGGGAAGAATGGACCAACAGGCACCTGAACAAATTCAGCAAGGACAAACAGGGAGTGCTGCACTGGAAAGATGGGTCCCTGCAGTGACACAGGCTGGGGCTGGTGCAGCTGGGGTGTGGCTCTGAAGGATGGCTCTGGATGCTGGTGGTCAATGAGTTGAGCCAGGGCCAGCTGTGTGCCTGGGTGGCAGTGAGGACCACTGGTGCCTGGGCAGTGTGAGAAGAACATGGCCCAAAAGCTAAGTAAGGAGTTGTGACTTCTCCTGAGCACTTGTTTAACACTTGTTAGATAACACCTAGATATTGAATCTAGTTTGTTGCCCAGTCTCCCTCCCACCACCCAAGTGTGGGAAAGATGCTGATAAACTAGGGTGAGTTCAGTAGAGAGGAATAGCTGTGGGCTGGAGCACAGGATCTGCAACAGAGAGGCCTCTCTGTAGTAAAGACAGCTTTACTGAGACCTAAGTATGTGTTCAGTCCCCAGGATACACAGGGCACTAACTGAGGAAATAGAATCAGGGTCCACACAGTAGTTTGTGGTGGGAATATGAGAGGC